TATCTCTGACTTCCTTTCTTTCATAGCACAATTGATAAGTTTTCATGAAAAGATCATGGTGCTTCTTCCTCATCTTTATAGGAAAGATTTTTGATAGATGTTTCTTTCCTTTTTACATTTGACACTTTTTTTGAAATAGATTGATTCTAAACATACTTATGACATCAGTAGACAAATTGTCAAAGGTTACATCTTTGATAATGCTACATGAACAACTAGATTACTTACCAATAAGAAAATTTTTATATATATAGCATTTTTTTGTTGATATTTATAATACATTTTATTCAATTCTAATTTTAATTATATATTTAAAATAAACATATGTTTCAAAAAAGTATATGAATAATATTGATTTAAGATTAATCCTTATACAAGTTTTTTTATTATTAAATATGATTTTTATCTTGTAAGATCAAGAAATAATTTATATTGTTAACTAGACATTTACATGCTCCCAAAATGCTTGACAATAGAGTACATTTATGAATCTTTATGAGAATTCTATACACAACCATTGTTTTAATATTGATGCAAACACAATTGACATGCAAACATCACAAATTCATGTAAACTTGAAAATTTTGTTTTTATTGTGAAATTTGCAAAAACCATATGATTGTTGAATAACATGAAAAAATATTTGCAAATTGCAAAATTGATATTTTTTTATTTCACAGTTGAAAATTTTTCAAAACAATCGCAAAGCTTGAAAAAAATTTCTATTTTTTTCTGGCAACAAACTTACACATACAAATGATTATGATTTTAATACTCACAGTATTTACAAAATAAATTTTATACAATCGCATCTAAATAAATTTTTGATTTTTGTAATCATCATCATTGTTATCACCATTGCACTTTTTATTAATCATCATCATGATTAGTGGAAATGTTGCATGTAATTGTGCAATTGAATATTGTGGTACAATTCAATTGAAATATAATTACTTGATACAAGATTAAAAGATATGATATTGTTTATATTCACACTTATATAGGTTGTGCATCAATATTTAAATCCAATATAAAGATAATGTTTCAAAAAACTTTGCAATGTGATTCAAAAGTTTTAAAAAGTATAAGTATATATATATTTGCAACTTAAAAAGCTTGATTGATATTTTAATATTGAAACTATCTCCAATATATATATATGTGAAGTCATAACTTGATGATATACTATGAGTATTGTGTTATTTACCTCAGACTTCAAATAAGTATGAAACTTTTGGTTTCTTTGTTATGATTTTTTACATTTAAAAATATCAATTTGATAGGCTTAAAAATAATTTTTATTATGATTATCAATTAATAGCTGTCTTGAAACAGAACATCTTTTAATCCAGCATCAATTATGATATAAATATGTAATTTTTGTTGAAGTTAACTCCGATTAAGGAGTTACCTCAGGTTTTAGCTATCTATAGCTAAGTTGGTCACCAATGTTAAATAAATAAATAAATAAATATATATGCAGAATCTGTGTATTACCAGACAGAACGTTAAGTACAATCTCATGATGCACTTCTCCGTGGACGTAATACCACAAGGATGAACCACATTATTTATGTCTCTCGTGTTGATGGCTTGGCTTTGCTTAAGTATATCATTGTGTTTATGGGGTTTTACCGCAACATTCTCTATGATTATTTTTTTGATCAGATTAAATATTGATTTTTATACAATATAATCATTACTTATTTTATCAAAGTTGGCCAATTATTAAGCTTATCTTTTTATTATTTCAATTCAAAAACATTGTTTTTTTATTATTTAAAATTGCTACATCTATTATCATGAAGAGTGTAATGTTTGCTGTCAAATATGATGATGATTACCTTATAACTGTTTTCATGTTTTAATTCTATCTGATTTAAGACATGTATTATCAATCTGCACATGATAAAATCTTAATCATACTAATTCTTCATTTTTTGGCATGATAGTCAAGTTGAACAACAGTTTTCAAGCTCTTCAAATAAAAAACATAGAGTTTTAATTTTTACTTATAGCTTTAATATATGTGTGAAAACATACAATATTGTATGTACTTTTGAGCATAACATTTAGTTTATGAAACAAGTTGATTTGACATTATCATGTAAACTTAGTTTATCAATTTTGTGTTTACAAAGTAATATTGATCTGAGCATCAATATTAAATTACATTATGCTAGATCACTAAATAGTGTAATTCAATGTTGAACAATTGCATTATTCAATATCTTCATCAGATATTATATATGTTAATAAAAATGTTTGTTGAAGTTAATTTTGAAACGTTAAATGTATGATATATTAAAAAAACTCAAATTAAAATACGGATTTTGTTTTAAAAACGTTTGGGTTTTTCAATGTAATTGATTATATTGACATAAATGAAAAAATATAAAAAATAATCCACAATACATATTTTAAATTTATAATTGAAAAAAATAAACATTAAATTCTATTAATAAAGCATTTGTTTGAATTGTAGGTTTTTGGAACACATTTTTTGAAAACTGCGACAATAAGCTCAAAGCTTTGTAAGTCAGATTGAATGACATCAGGATCTTATTTACATCTATATAAATGTTAGAAAAGATTTTTGATGAATATCACATTTAATTCCAATTATGATTGCAAACGATTGTGTTGTTGAAATCAATTATAATAATGTTCTCAATACATATATACTTTATTAATTTCTTCGGATTTTCGAATATTTTAGCAAATTTGTCTGAACATGTCGGAGGATGTTCAGAAAGTGAACACATAATAATCTGGAATCCGTGAAAGAAAGTTGTTGTTATAAGCTGGAGATAGATATAAAACAGTAGAAGAGGGTGGTTTGCACAGTCGATGACATAAGTGGAGGCACATCGATCTGAAGCTGGAGAGTGAATCCGACCTGAGCACTGGGCCAATGACCCAGTACAGTGTCGTAGACGCCGTTGACCGAGTCGTGGGTCGAGGGTTGCAGCTGACCATGGTGAAGAAAAGTCCGAGGCCAGGGAGGGCGCTTTAGCTGCGTTTGGTGCCGATGAATGGCGTGCATGCGATAAAAGAAAGTCGATTAAAGCCCAATGATTGCCGAGCGGCCCCTAGCACTCCGTAAGCGATCGGCAGTTCGGGGCTCGTTGTGCCCTAGATCGATGCCAGCGAGCACCATTGTCAAGCATGGTGCAATTTTTGCAAGATGCTCACCAAATTTTGCGATGCTTGAGTGCGTAAGCGGACCACCACACACATACACACGTCACGTGGTTCGGGATTCTTTGGCCGTGTCTTCTTCTTCTTTCCTCGGAAGATTTTGTCCGCATAAAACTGCAAAAGAAAGAGGTACAGCACATATTGCACGACGAGTCCCTCCCTCAGATTCTTCGCAATTCGTGCAATATCTCTTTCTTTCACAATTTTTGCAGGCGACTACGGGCCCGTATGGGTACGATGACCTTCTTCTTGCACCCCGCCCATCCATCTCCGCCCTTGCGAGCAATCCTTCATGCTCGCACTCTTCTGATTTCCGAGCTTCCGTCCTTTTGCACAATTCTTAGGTTTACTTTCCTTCCATCTTCGTTGCAGAAATGTGATGTGTGAGCAAGGTTCGATCTTCACGAGATCATTCGAGTTCCCTCATTCTGACTTGTAGAGCATGAGTGAAGGTCATAGACAAGGGTATCTATCATGACCCATAGATGTGAATCTTAGTTTCAGCTGCGATCGAAAAGCTCTGCGACTGCCCATGCGTTGGTGTCTAGAATCTAAAGAGGCAATCTCCTAGCCCTGTCCTGGCAGATAGGATAGCTCACTGGTTTTAATCGGCTCCAATAGCTCTCTCTTTCTCTCTCTCTCCCAACACGAGCTCTAGGTTTGAGATGGAAATTCCGGGAATCTTAGATGCTCGCTCGAAGCACCACGAGGTCGAGGAGAGCATCCGCAGCGACACGGACGCCTCTCTAAAGTATTTGGGTCACGAACTTGTTCGTCCCAATCGGTGGCCGTTCCCATTTGGGGCCCAAGTCAAAGATCTTAGGGCCGTGTGCAATCGACTCGCCTTTCACTTTCTGTGTCCTGCTCTTCTATTCTCGTCCTTATCAAGGTTCTAATAGATGTCCGGGGGACCTTGATGGTATTGGTAGAACACATCGGTGCGTTCCTACAGGGAGTGCAAGCGGTTCCATGATCATTTGCACGCGCAAAGCACATGATAATGGAAACGCACTGACTGTAGTAGACGACCAATGTTGGAAGTCATTATTTGCAATCAGAGATTGATGCCAGTTCATGAACAAGTGTGTCTTGCGTCCATAGGCAAAGCTTCTCTCGCCTCGCTGAATACCAAGCGTCTTTTCTGTAAATAGAATACACTTTCTTTCATGATCTTGCGCCATGGAGTGAAGACAACATGATGGACCCACCCATTCGACAGCATGTGCTAGGGCAAACGGATCAATGAGGGACTCTCAGTGGACCATACTTGATTCACGAATCACCAAAGGCAGATCAGTCATACTCAATATGCTGGGACAAACAGTAAAGTAAAGAACTGTGTTATATGTTTGACATCAGTAGGAGGAGCAGGTTAGACCCTAAATTATGCGTGTGGCCATCTGGAACCCTGACGTGAGTTCGATCGACTTCTTTTTAATCTGGCGGGAGGCTTGTATACCCATCTGAGCTGCAATGTTCTCGATTGCCGTGTCAATTTCTCAGACCAGGCAATCATGTTGTAGGAGATCAAGGTTTGAGGTTTGTCAAATGTGTGAAGATGTACCGCTCGTTTTGTGCATGTGTTTCGCTGTCAAAGTTCACTGGGTTCCGAATCCGAGCTGCTCGTCATTTTGCCAGCAAAGGCCCGTGTCAGTTCCTCGAGTGGACAACTCACTCAAATGCTTTCGTGGTTTCTCTTGAAAGTTCTAGTTCAGCAGAACGTTCTTGGACTTTGTTGGTCTCTGACTTTTGCTCTTAACCTCTTAGCAACGAATAGTGCGCACAATCTGTCATATGAAGTTTTCATGTAAACATGTTTCTGGTTTGCATCTCCACAGGCCCGAGGAACGTGTATTCCTCAATCTATATAGTCATATGATGCTGTCATTTTGTAAACGCTGTGCTCTTCACAAACTCCCTCTTGATGGCAACGATGGTCAAGAATAGATTCACATCAAAGTTTTGGCACTACTTTTCGGCTCAAGAATGGAACCCCATTTAATGATGGCACTCATTTGACGAAGAGACATCCGAGATGGGTAAGATGTGTGCAAGCAGCAGTTCAGCCTTTCTTGGTGGACGGAACGACTTCCTCAAACCGTGCGCACACAATCGAGGTCTATCCGAAATAAGGAAGTGAAGTGTGTTCATTGGTTCGCTTCACACCGTCGAAGAGTTACTTGCAAAACCCAAACTTCCAAGTTCAACTACGAATGCATCGTTCTATGACCCGAGGGAGCAATAATAGCTCGAAGACCGACATGAATTCGGAACATCTGAAATGGAATTAGAGGACGAGGAATAACAGAAAGGGAAAGAGGGCGGAAAAAATGGTTCCCCTGGCGATCAGGAGGCTTCTACTGGAGGCAGCAGGGTAGTCAAGACCCAGGGGGAATTTACAACGCTCGGTGGAGGGATCGGTTGTCACGACCATACCCAGCGTGTCAACATTGCAGAACTGGGCTTGCTGGTAATTGAATTGGAAATAATTGTTGAAGGCATAGGAAGCGATCATCGAGCTATTGAGGCCGCTGCAAGAACCACCGACTTGCAGAGCACTGCAGTCGGAATGAGCGCAGGCGAAATCTACCTTCTGGCCTAAAACGACCGGATCCGGATGAAGGTTGGGGCTGAGCACGCAGAATTTGCGGTCCAAGTGTTTCACACCGACCGCAGCTTTGGGCCAGGAGCCGGAGTCGCCACGGCCGGAGAGGTCGATGGGATACTTGGGGGTGCCGTCGTGCAAGAAAATTCCCCAGTGCCGCTCGTAGGGCGTGATGCCGTCCAGCAGGTCCTTGAGATTCTCGTCCAAAAGGCCGAAGAGGAAGATGTCGAAGGGCTCGTCGGGGCGCAAGGGGCTGCCGGACCCGTTGGCGACGTGCGCCAGCAGCTCGTTGTTGAAGCGCTGGGCGTTGGAGACGTTGGCGACGGGGTTGCCGTCGGTGGGCCAGCCGACCTCGCCGACGACGATGGGCAGCGCCGGGGCGCCGACTGTGGCCAGCGCCGAGACGACGCGGTCGAACATCGCGTCGAAGACGCTGTGGTAGGTCAGATTCGTGACGGAGTCCCTCGAGCTGTGGGCGCCGAAGAAGGCGAAGTCCGACGGGAAGCCCGTCGAGTACACGAGGTTGATGAACGGGTACAGGTTGACGCAGAACGGAGCGCTCGTCTCGACGTACGACGCGACGATGCCGCGCATGACGGCCGCGATGTCGGGCCGGAACGCCCCCGACGACGGGTCGGGCGACGCGCCGGCCTCGTCCAGCACGTCGGCGCTGAAGGGCACGGTGGCGAACACCTTGCCCCCGAGGCCGGCCGCGCCGATGGCCTTCTGAACGTTGCGCAGCGCCGGCAGGCAGAGGTGGCCGTACGTGGCGTTGTTCGGCCCGTAGAACGGCTCGTTGCCCACGGCCACGTACCGGATCTTCACCCCGCCGTCCGCCCGGCGCAGGAATCTGGTCAGATTCTGAGCCACCCAGTCCGCGGCTGCCTGCTCCCCGTTCCCCCCCGGGGCTGCGAGCGCCGGTAGCAGGCTGTTGGGCGCCCCGACCATGACCTCGATGCCCGTCCCCGAGAGCGCTTCGAGGATCGGCGCCTTCGTGTCGAAGAGCTTGACGCGAGAGATGTTGTTGCTCTGCAGCAGCTTCACCACCACCTCCGGCGCCAGAGGCTGTCGAGCCATGTCGCCCCAGTTCACTCCGATCGGCGCCGCTTGCGATCCGTCAATTGCCGCCGCCGCCGCGCAAAGCAAAAGCACAATCCCCGCGAACGCAATGCGAAATCCGCTGATCGACGTCCATCTCAGAGCCATGAACCGGACAGCCCAATCAATCTTCAGCGATTTCTATGAATTTCGTCGAGTGAGTGAGTGTGTGACCGGGAAAATCCTACTCAGAACGAGTATCTGTCCATTCTCTCTGAAGCCATTGTCAATGACTTCGAACTCAAATCGATCTTCGATGACGCCTTACAGTAAGCCGAGTCTGTCACCTCTCCTGGTACCACCGAATCTGATGTGTTTGATGGTGTCTGATCGGTCGAAGTTTCCTGGTCTACGCGAGCGTTTCTTCGTCAGCCTTCTTCCCAACCCTTTGATCTCCGGGAGGAAGTGCTGACTTGTGCTGGGCAACGACATTGTGTGCAGGTCTTAAAGAGTTGAGGCTTTTCCATCGACCTGTCCACCGAGTCGTGGTTCCATGTACGGGAATCGTACTTTCCGCGAACAGGGAGTTGACTGAACCAAGACAATGGCTGGATCTGCAAAAGATCTGTGCATGAGCTTGATTGATCCCCCGATCCCCATTTTCATGTCCACAGAGAGGAGAGCACGTGCTCTATGTGGACATGAAAATCTGAGGCACTGCAGACACTCCAGGTGAAGGTATTTGAAAAAAAAGGCACTGTGACATCGAGGTTCGACAGTCCTTTGCCTCCTCCACATCCTTTGCCATGTTTTCCTCCGTTACAGTTCAGCAGGTCACGATGTGCAAGCTCCAGACATCCGTTTGGGATGCAGGCCACCTCCGGACTATTATACTACCCCATCAGACATTTTGAGCTCACTCATGATCTCTTGAACCGCATTCTGTGGGTTGAACCTCAGAAAAGCTCGAGCAGATTTGTTCGAACGATTACTGGGTCAAGAAATCTTCTCGTGGGAACCTTCACTCCTGTTGGTGAAGGCATGACTCGGTCAGTGGAACTACGGTCGCTTGTCTCGTGATAGCTGCCGGACTCTGAAGCAGTGGTTCAGAGATTGAACTACAGACAGGGCTTTTCATCTGTGCACATGAACATGAAAGTCAAGTATCCAAACATCGGCCAAGGCCAGCGCCAAACTACACAAATCAACACCGATTTTATTTTGAGTGATGATGTGTTTGTAAATGAAGGGAGATTTTGACTCACACATATCAAGCAGAACTTGGATCAAAAGTCTTCAAGGTCCGTGTACACCCTACAACTTTGACCAGGGCATCTGCGCACGTCTTGGGCACCACGATCAAGGCTGATATGCATGTCTGGTTGTTTGCTCAGACAGATTGTGCTGAAGAGTGATGATCATTCATGTCCGGTCAACTGTGGTGGGAAGGATCAGGATTATTAGAGTGTTTCATAACAAAACTGTAACAAAGACGACGCGGTTTCGCATTTTCCAAGTAAGGCCCTTGATAATTATGTAAACTCCTCTTAATTATGTATGTGCTCAAGAACATAGAGAAGTCCATATTTCCAGGTATGGGAAAGAGGCAGTTCGTCTCATCGACAAAGATGTTCCGTAGGCGTGTTACAGAAACCTCACTACGCTAAGTTTGACACGTACGTTACGAGTTATCTTCGTGAATGCTGTCGGACCTCAGACAATCTATGGTTCCTGTGATAAAGGACGAGAGGCTTCCAAGGGGTTGTCATGATCTGGACCCAAATACTATTGGTCGAAGTTACTAGCATTTCCTTCGTGTATGGTACTTCAGTGCGTTGCGCTAAAAATATCTTCCACATCTTTTAGGTTGTGGAAGCCCATTCGATTCCATCGTAGAATGTTTTGTACACGGTCAAATTGGAGTCAAGAATGCAGGGCTGTTCATCTTCATAGTGATTTTGTCGACTCCACTCCACAATGCTTAGTGACGGTTGCGACTTCTGTGAGCTGTCACAGCTGTCACTCCATGTGATTGACGGTACCTACAGTACAGAAGTTCTGATTAACACGTTCTCTGTTCATGACTACGGAAGCCAAACTCTGTGAATCTCTGACAGTTTAAAATATGATCCTTGCTGAATTTTGTAGATCTTTGGAAATCGAACTAGGAACGAACTTTTCTGCCTTAGACTTGGCAATCTTAAGTTTAAATTTGTCGTCCTCATTTCTTACCAGACTTACCAATTTACCAAAAGAAAAATTGGGAAGAGAGAAGCGAATTTCCCTGCAGTTTATACTGTTTCATGGCCATGCATTTTCGTGGTGCGGCAAGAAATAACTTCTGTCGGAAGAAAATGGGGGAGGACACAAAAATCTGCTAACTCCGTCGACTCTTAATTGATCTGCATGGGTGGAATGTGCTAAAATGGATTAGGCATTATGGTCTGCTAACAAGAAATCCAAACAGGTATGGCATCTAGAGATTAAACAGGGGGCCAAGATTAAACAGGAAGATCTAGTGATTTAAAATTTAAATTTTAGTCCAGCAAAGTATATCTTTGCAAAATGATGTCTCTGCTGTTTAAACATGGTACCTGTATCAAACTAACTTCAAGGTGACGATTGCTATGCTTCTAACGGTTCAGCTACTCTTAAGAAATTAGAATCAAAACATCAATGGACCCTGTCCAGACTTCTCGGTGCATCTTTTCCCGTCTGTCTAGCACTGTTTGATAGTACCTTATGGTTTTTGTTTGTCTAAAACGTGGCTACCATGTACAGTAGCAACAATCTAGCTTTGCGGTCTGGAGATTCATCCGCTTTGCACTGCGAACATTCAGAAAAGGAAAAGTGGACTTCAGTTTATGCATCAGTTCGTGGATGAACATGAGCCCCCAGTCTAATATACATGATGCTTGAACAGTCGTCATACTTTCAGCTCAAAACATGCTCCTATTTACGGTATGCACATTTGCCTTTCGCTCTGAGGAAATTCCACAGAGCTGGCCTTGTAACGAGGCTAACAATATGGAATCGTAATTTCATGCCCATTTGAAAACCACCACAGATTTATTGTTAGTACAAACGGGAGTTGGGTCGGCGTGAGTGTCTGTGAAGTTTCAGCTTAATTTTCACCTTGAGATAGAACAGTAGGTAGTTTGTCGATAAACTGTATAACGACGATGAAGATCAGACTATGTTATTGGGAAAAATATTTCCATGTTTTTTTAGTATCAATCATCCACGAACAGATTTGTTGTTACAGTCGTTGGATCCCAAGACTTTTCTAAACCAAACCAAACCAAGCCATGTCTCTCAAAAGTTCGGGAGACTTAGTTGGTAAACATCGAGTCAAACCTCCTAAGACTCATGATCGAGATCGAAGGAAAAAAAAATCAGGATGAACGCGACTTTGAAATTTTCAGTTTTACTCTGTTCAGAAATACAAAACTTGGAGTATGTGTGCTGTAATTTGTCAACAGTTGTGCCTCGCCATAAATCTGTAAGCGTATGTCGAATGGAATATGCCGTTGTAATAAAAGCAAAGATATATAAATTCTGAGTACAGCTGAGTTTGCTTATAATCAGCTTATAATCAATGATCTCCAGTGATTAGAGCTAAATTGCAGAAATACCAATCCAGATGAATTCTACTTGCTCCTCTTGCTTCTTCCACCTATTGAATACATTATTAAGAGATCGTGATTCTATATTTTCAACCCATCGAAATAGGGGAAAAAGGTACATAGGATTGGGGAGTGCATGCACTTTTACACCATCCAAGCCCTGAATCCTTAATGATTAGAATCGAAGTTCTTACATAGCCTTAGCGATGCATGAGGAGGTCTAAGATCAGTAAGCTGCAGACTTGCCATCTCAGTTGGCGGCCACCTGGCTGATTTAGATTCCTTCAAGCCAGATTCCTGAGGCTGCAAGTAACTGCAGTCGATGGTGTCATGCTGCACAGCTTTCCGATTTGCTGTGGTGCAGATGATGGCTGCAGTAGCTGTATGAACCATATAGCTACTATACACTTTTCGCTTGACATGCTTGAAGGTGTGTAAGAATGTATCACGACTTGTTGATGCTTAGAATTGACTTTTGCCAAAGTGGCAGCAGCATGCAATGAAATTATCATATATTTTCCATTTTCATAGAAATTTAAAGCGATCATCGAAAATATGAGTTTGGACATTGATGTTTCATAATCCTAGTAAAACACTTATAGTCAATTTAAGATTAATTACTTTATATGAAAAATCAAAGATATAAATCTGTCCTTTACGTTTTTTCTCCAGAAATTGTACTAAACTAATATCGTGTGCACTCTTATTTATAACTTTCTTCACTTTTCTTCTTCCGGAGATTAAGCAAATCTCTTAATTTACAGAATTCTTCGAAATGCAAATGACGATATTTTCCTCAATTATATTACAAAAAATAATGCTGAAGCATGTACTCAATGTACTTGGATACAGACCCAAAGTGACGAGTCAAAAGAATTAAAATACGAGAGTCCCGCAAGGCGGAGCAAAAATTCAGAACGTATTAAGTCCCTATTAACTACGGTCCTCGCAATCTACGTGGTTGGAACTGGGATCCAGGTCCGGTCACTCGAGTGCCGGATGGGGGGCGTCGAAGCACAGTTGGGACAGTCCGCGGCCCGTGGCGTGAGCGAAGTCGTGCTACAGCGGAGGGAGAGGATAGGCACGGTGCCGAGAGCGGACAACGGGCCTTGTTGTCCGTCTCGCGCCCGAAAGCAACTGCTGCTACAAAGGCTCTCGATCGCTCGCGAGGGCCAGAGAAGAGAAGAGACTCCATCGCCATCGCCAATCGATCGCTCGCTCGCTCGCTCGATCGATCGAAGCACCGAAAGCCAGGGCGGAGGACGAGCAGAGAGAGAGAGAGAGAGATGTCGGCAGCAGCGGCCCCTTCGCCTGCCCAGGCCAGGGCTCTGCTCAAGGCGTTCATGCGAGAAGCTCGAAAGTTTCCGAATTACAACATCCGCGAGTACGTGAAGAGGCGAGCCAAGGAGGGCTTCAAGGAATGCCAGTCCATCAGCGATCCCGCCGCCGCCGCTGCGGCCTTCGCTAATGGCCGCGCGCAGCTGGAAGTGGCGAAAAGGCAGTCGGTCGTGTACTCTCTCTACGCGCCCCGAGTCAAGAGTATCATGGATTTGAAGATCACCGAGACCACGTTATGATCTTCGTTCCGTGCTGGTATGCCTCGAATTGCCGACAATTGTCATACTTCGAAATTTGGACTGCTCGGTTCTGTGCTTCGCAGCGTTTTATATTGTTTTTCTTCTTCTTTAGTGAGGGAGCAGTTGCTGTCGCTGCGGTTCCTCTTGCTAGGTTCCTTTATTTCAGGTGAGCTTCGATCTGTTGCAGAATTGTGATACAATCCAGTCGTTCGAAGGAAGTTGTGTAATTTTCCCTCTCTCTCTCTGTCCAAACCATATTGTGATTGATTCAGGACTTGTAGACCTGCTTTGGATCCGTTCGAATTTGATGGCGCTGCACTAACCCGCTTAGAAGCACCTTCAGCGCATACTACTCAGGTATCAATAAAGATCTGTCAAGGCGAAGAGATTTCCTGATGAGTGAAAATTTCCCTGAATGGATGCTAGGGCTTACCAGAATGATTGCCAGTGCGGTTGCTGACCGTGAATCTTCCCTCTTGCTGATAGAGCTTGATATCGACGTAATCGAAGAATCATCACTTCCCGTTGACTGAGACCTGGAGGGCCTTCTCCACAATCTGGCGAGTTACATGGTTTCGTTGTTTTTTTATACATGCGAATATGCTGGTGTACATGATAGGATGTAGCGGTGCAGTGGGCCGGTGTAGTCTCCCAATCTTAGGGTTTCTAGTTTGGTCACGGTAGGTATAAGGAATGGTCTAATTGGTTAGAACCATCCACAGTCGAAAGTACTTTCAGCTTGTCAATGGCCTTTACTGAAGGCGAGTCCGTGTGCTGTGCGAAGCGCAGAAAGGCGTTTCCGAAGCCTGTAATTACGAACTGAGTTCATGATACTCGAAAAATGAATGAGTTGAAGCTCTTGTTATATCCTACCTGCACGCCCTCTTCATGCCCATTCTACTAACAAACGTCGATGGCGTATTGAACAGCAAGTCTTTGTTTACTCGTTTCCTGTTTGTGGTCAGGTATATGTGTGCTCTGAGTTCTTAAAGCGACGTCCTCGAGCCATTATTCCGGTTATATAGCTTTGGTCTGCGTATACACGATGCTGTTGTTTTCATTTGCTTGAGTAGCTGGTCAACCTCCATCGATCACTATCTCTTCTCAAAGAGGAATGGAATCTATGGACTCATGCTATTTAAGTCTTCGTTAGTTAGTATGTGAAGTACCTCACTCCCAAGGTCTTAGCCGTAAATTACTTTCAATACACAATTGTGCCACACTTTGGAGGGTATCGAGCACGCGAAGGCTTGTTTGAGCTCTTCATTACCTTCATACATGGAGTCTTATTTGAGTAGATCAGAATGCTGAGATGCGGTAAAGGGAGTTTAGATGAGCCGCTGTGTTCTGATGGTAAGGTTTCTATAAGTTAACCTTCTAAGGGGAAATAATTGATCGAAAGTCTAGAGTATGGTGACAGTAGAATCACGCCGACATGGTTTTCTGAAGAGTTTCCATGGCTAGTGTACTTCCCATCCAACTTAAGAATCACCTTGAGAACTGGCTTGTGAGTTGAAAGGCTATGTTTACAGCTGAGAATACAGAATGCAGATGCTTTGTCCGATATCCTTTCTCGTTCTCACAACTACGAAGGTAGCAGTAAACGAGAGGAAGGGAAAGGAGAAAATCTCTTATTGAGTCCAGTCCAATTACAACCGTAGTACATGAGAAGAGGGGAACCCTCATGATTGCAGGAAATATGCGAGCGAGTAGCTGCCTGAATTTGGAAAGAAATTTATATTCCTGCTCAATTTATTGATATTGCAAACGAGATTCTGTGAAGCGTAGTTCGTCTGTCTAACATAACCACGTTGTTTTAACAGTTTATGAATGCCTTGCACTTGACAATCACATCAAATATCAGGTTTACCTACCGCAACAGTTGCCTCTAGTGTTGGGCAAATCCAACCTTAGCACAATTCGTAGTACAATCTTCTCAGAGTCATTGATGGAGGAAACCCATTCGTTGTGTTTCGAATATCCTCGTTTATCCTGCTGCGGGTTGACCGCTCTCTTTTGCCTGTAGGTTTTGGACAGAGGAAGATAGTCTGTCTGGGTTCCGGCAGACATTTCTCGTTCTTACTTCTGTAAAAGTACTTAAGGCTGTATGCGAGCACATAAGCTCGCAATTGCCTCATCACAAATCAAAACAAAACAGTTACACTCTGCTTTGCGTTAAACCTGACCCTCCGTAAACGAACGGAGCTTCACACCTCCAGATCACACTGGTAAACACCTAACGTTGAATCAACTTGAAAGCAAGGTCAAAACTTCACGAAAGGAGGAGGCGGATGCATCTCAGCAGTCTTCCTCATTTCCTTGAACAACTCGGTCATCCTGCGTGATCAGATTGATCATATGCAAAAATTTTGTTACCATATAGTACTTGTAGGTTGGGAAAAGAACCGCGTGCGCAGCACAATGCATATTGTGTTTCTCAGCATCATCACCGGTATGAGGGAATTTTCAATTCTTGCCTGATTGCTGGAAGCTAGCCACAGATAGCCTTATGATATAGATGGCGATTCATAAGAATTAGTACTTATTCATCTGAAATCGAAACCCAAATTTTACCGAGCTCAATCAGCAAAATCTGTTAACGACAGATAGCTGGGTCGTTTGCTACCGAGAAAAGTTAACTCACCTCCTAGCGATGAGGTACGATATTGTAGGTTTGTGATGGTGAGTGTCGAGCTTCCTTTTATAACTGCATATTAAAACTAATCATCAGTATCAGACCAGGAACTAAAAAACGAACAAAAAATTATTAAAGTGGATTCGGATGCTGGCATCAACATACTTCGACGTCGAGAACAGAATTTTAGGAGCGCATTATGCCAAGCTTACGAATAAGTGTGCGGGCAAAAAACTCAAGAAAACATTCGAAGTACTTGTCTGAACATGGAGCTGCAAAAAGTTGGACTAGCTTTTCTCACAGCAAATAATCATCATTATCCTCGACATTTGCCATCTCGGATCCTCTCGATTGATTCGGAGCTTTCACCGAGGGAGGTTTTGGAGCTGGTTTTTGAGCTGGTGCTTGTTCACGTCGGCGTGTTTGAGCATGACTAGATCGTGGTCTTTCATGTGGGATCGTCTCAGGAGTCTCATCCTTTAAAGCGCATGCTTCATCTTCACATGCATAAGGACTGTGCGACTGATAAGCAGCAGAGTTGAATCTACTGGTGTCTGGCGATTTTCTGCTGCGAGCTGGAGAGCAATATCGTCTCTCGGGAGTAGTCCTGCCTCTATCTGGCGACACTGCGCGTCTGTCTGGTGGACTTTGACTTCTCGGCGATCTTGTTCCTCGATTCTGCTTGAGTGAACGAGATTCTTCTTCTGGCCTATTCAGAAAAATGCCTTCAACAGACCTTAACACAAGAAGTTGAAGACTTGCTGTGTTTCCATACTAGTATTATTTGGACAACGAGGGCCTTAGAAAAGCATGAAGCCACATCTGAGTACATGATTCCGATGCTCTAAATGGAAAGCCATATCTCCCTCATGCACCACGTCTGAACAAGTCGTACACTAAATGCATGCTCGCTATCGGGGACGAAGAAGAAACAGTACGGTTTCGAGGCCAAACCTGCTGACACTGACAGTATACCCAGTGGTTGCCCCTTTATCTTGTGAATTCCGAACACACTGCAATTCAACCTCTCCCCGTGATCCTTGTGGAGTTACTTGAATGGACAGCTGCACAGCTGATTTACCCTGCCCGACTTGAACCTGTGGAATATCAGCAACGAACGTCAGACCTGCCACTTGACTGGTCAAGTTAATCTGTGCTTAGCGTGCCTTCCAATTTCGAGCCCTAACAACATTTTAGAACTAGAAAGATGAGTAGCTCTGACTGTACCTGTGTCCACAAAGGCATGAGATTTACCTGCAATTGGTTGTCGGGAGTTGATGTGGCTGTGATTGTTTGAGTCTTGTCATTTCGGGCTCTGTTGATGAAACTTTCTACATGGGTTAGTTTTTGAGGCTGCAACCAGTTCATATCGGCCATTTGAATGGCATCGTTTATAAATGATTGATTGGCACAATTGTACAAATTCATGTACCGAGTACAAATATGGGACGAGGAGGAAACGAGCACCGGACAGATCCTAGTCACGCAGAGGAGACACAAGAGGAGAAGACAACTCTCGAGGAAGAGACAAAAGCTGCAGTCTGTTCATAGATATCCTGATCGGATGAGAAAGGTTTCCCCAGGTCAGCCTTCAAGGTGATAATTAAATCGAAGCAATGTGCTTCATTGACCGGACTGGTGTCGATCTGCTGTGTAGGAGCTACGCTGAAGGAATGATACATTGCACAATAAGGAGAATTTTAAAATCGGACAGCAATACAAAAAAGTGGTCCGAAGAGCTCAGAATTAGAACAGAGGAAAGACGTCAAAGCCATATACTAAAGAATAAAGATCTATTAGACGCCACACGATCAGATGCACAATTTTGCAATTACAGCGAAAAGCCACATTCGATGTGACACACAGCGGAGCAAAGAAGGTTGCAGATGATGATGGAGCAGAGAAGGAACACTTGGCCAAGACTTTGAAGGCTGAATTCAAGTCCGAGAGAGTGAGTACGCAGGAGCATGTGAAGAATGAATGAATGACCTGATGACAAGGCCGCCACCGTTGATGGATATGTTTTCACCGACATTGGCACCCGAAGGTGTGATGATGTAACCATTTTGTTTGATGCCCTGGGTCGGTACATCCTTCAAAGCTGTACCCACTCCTTCAAGTTTTACCTTCACACCTTCTTTAGCTCCCTTGTGGTGGATCTGCACAGCTTTCGTTCTCGCCTTATTCACAAGAGTCGCCATTTGGCTGTCACCAGCGTGCTGATCTTGGACAGCAGCAGGTGGATCCTGGCAGATGCTGACTACGATTGCTTCTCTGTCGTCGTCGGGAGAATCAGCTGTGCAGAAAGCAACAATACGATTTGAATTCTCGTCGACCGCAAGACTACCGTCTCGTGCACAGCGACTGAATGTGATACTCAGTGACTGTGGTGTCATAGCATACGATCTGAGCACGTGGAGACTCGAACACTCCAGACATCATCTGATGAGATTATCGTAAGTGCACTCCGAACATCGTGAACAGGCGGCTTGAGAACATTCAACACAACCTTTACACGATTCTGGATCATCATTCGTCTGTGTGTTCTCTTTCCCCAGCCGCGCGCGATCTCAACGAAGCTGCTCTGAATGGCGAGCAGATCAAGGCAAGCAAGGCCATCCCTGAGTCTCCATCATCTCTGAATTTTGATTCTCTATGTAACTCAGGATTCTTAGATTTTTTCAGAACTTGGATCCGATAGTTGGAGGCCATCAAATCAAAGCAAAGGCAGGGCACAGTAGAAAGATTTGTGCCACATCCTTCCTTTCCGTGCGTGATTAATTTATTGCTTCACGTATTTCAAAAGGTTAAAGAGTCATGCATCTCTTCTCTCTTTCTAGCCTTCCACGGCCCTCTACTGAATTCGGCAGCGATTTGATTCAGACATCGGTTCAAAATCCTCAACGACGTTGGCTGCACTTCCTGTTTGACTGAAGGCGGTGGCGCTGAGAGAACAGAGAAGACGACTGAACTGCCCCCCTCACACGAATTTCGAGATTTCACTCCGACATTTAGAGCTTCCCCTCTTCTGTAGATTGACAAAATCTTCAAATCCATGACTGAGTCCAAATCTTATTGACAACTGGCGGAAATGAATTCTGACGCTTCGGCCGAAGGAATTACATGCGATCATTATCGAACGACCATGTTTGTGCTCTCCTGCATCCGATGAGACGACCGGATTCGAAAATGCGACCAAAAAAAAGAGCTCGCAGTGTAAAAAAAAAAAAGCTTATCTCCCGAATTAGCTTCACCGGGATTGATTGATTTGACTCGCTCTAATCCAATCCACCCACACAACAGCGGAAGGAAAGGACGATGGAACGAACTGCCCTCCACTACAGCGCTCTGCTGCTGGTGCCAAAGGCATGGAAGGCGACCGATGTTTACTTCATACCACGAGGTGGAGAGATGGCGCCGCACAGCTTTGCACAAAACTGCCGAATCCGATGGATCTGTTGAATGTGAAGCTTAACGATATCTCCATCCGACAGCGATTTGCCTCACAACGACCGCAGGTACCCCTGTAGTCCGTTCCGTCCACGGAACGGACTACGGGGTACGACGGTTATGTGGGCCGCCGTACCGACGGCGGCGCGCCATTTCATCCTTCGACGCATCACCGCGCGACGAGCACAACTGGAGCTCTCGGCTTTTCCGTAACCGACCTCTCTCCGTCAGCGGCCTATGGTTGAATGGTCCCGAGGTGAAGCGTTAGACGACGTCACTTACGTGGTTCAACGCTTCGCCTTGGAACCATTCGGACATCGCAACTATGTTCGTCTACACGGTGAACGCAGAGCGCTAACCACGCGCAGTCCGTCAAGTCTTGTGTGACGTGGATTGTGACGTCCTCACTTTCGCGGTGACTGCAGGAAATAGTGTGAAATCCTCTTTCGCCCTCTCCTTTTCATTCGATACCTCTTTCAAAATTCACTTTTATGATTTAATACTGAGTTTCCTTTCAGGATGCACAAATTGCAAGCAATTTTAAAGTTGAAGTCGTCCAGTTTGAACCTCAGTAGACCATACTGATCGTTTAGATTATAAATCTATATTGCATCCGTATCTTGTGAATGTAGCGCGATGTAGACTGCTTGTTGACCAATTATTCTCTGTCTTTAAATCAATTGACTAATGCATGATGCGGCTGATAAGTATCTTATTCGTTCCTTGTGCGAATTCTACTCGCTTGTATTTTGAAAGTGCTTTCTATAAGTGGTTTTAAATTTGTTCCTATTTATCTATTGTGTTGATGTGTTGAGGAATCGATGAGTTGGTACATTTTACTCTTCAATTTTAGGTGTGTGATACTGTGATATAAGACCGAAATTACTTTTGATTTAGCTTAAAGACAACAAAAAGAAGTCGCACATAACGGAAATTGAAAGATATTTCATTTTGACTACCATGTTAAAGTAAGATTACTTGAATAAAATATTTTCCTAAAGGATCCCCACAAATTCAGAAAAAGTTTTCGCATGATTGTTGAAATGTAAATCATTTGACAAAATGATATAACTATCTGTGAATGGAATTTAGGTCACTCTTATCATGTACCACAGACCTACTCATTCCAGCACCCGCCATTTCCCTGGATATGAAACACATAAAAGCACACCGAAATAGTCATTTGCGCGTCATCTCTATATTTTCTTAGGCTATTAGGAAATATCTAATCTCACTGGCTCTTTCCGATTTTCCGAAAGTTTCTTCTGCTGTTCTATCCCAAATTTGCTCGACATGGAATCCCCAGCCATCACTTTCTTGCTAAGACGAGCGAGAAACTTATTTCCGACACGAATGTTCCAAACGAGGAACCAGTCAATTTTCGATCAATGGTGCCAGCGTTTTAAGAGGAAGTGAGAATGTTGTACTGTACCCCATTGGCTCGAACCATACGTCTCCCAGGTTGCAATATCAATATCAACCTATGACTTCACTCACTCACCTGCGAAAGAACATATGGCGAAACTTTCGTCATTACTTTCGTGTCAATATGAAAATGATTTTGAATGTGTAGCTACGCGATCAAAGGTCGGGCTGGTGCAGGTTTATAGACAATGTCATCTGCACGCATAGTCAAAGGTTCAACTTCTGCTGGCAGAAAATAGCAATGGCCGGTATGTACCCCAAAAACTGTAACTGAACCTGTCTGCATTGGAGAAAATAGAATCTTCATAACCTCTTTTGTTGCTCCTCGTAAATTAGACTCAACTTTCTGGTCGTACCCCAAAGATAGACGAAAAGGCAAAAGCTCGTTGGCGGCCCTCTAGTTAGCAGCGTTGCCATACATTTACGTTGTCACCTTAGAGTATGTAGGAATGTATACCTTGAGTAGAAACCCACCAGCTACGACGGGCGTAGCTTTCCATGTGTACATACGATCATTTAAAATGGGCTTACTATGCAATAGCATGCCAATAGCAAACTGGTAGCACCGAGGAGGAAGAAGCTGACTGAATTTACTAAATGAGGTGATGAAATGAACGGCGTTTAAGGTGATGATAGAAATGTTCAAGGGCAGGGACCATAACCCGGGCATTCCAAAGCAAATATCACTTTGCTATCAGACAACTCTGCGGCTTTGAAGGAGTACACTGAGATGCATAGGCTTCAGCCTTCAATCGTGCGAAGATGTACCGCTTCATCTGCAGGCTACCAAGAAGGCCAAACGATCTCTAGGCGATCTGTAGGCATGCTCAGGCCGCTTGTACAGACAGACCCCTGTCAGCTGAAGGCTAGACATTCTGTACATAAGCACAGAATCTGACACATGGGAAGCGAAAATGAAGAGAACCGGCAGTTAGAGATAGACATGTTTTCGTACAAGTAAAAATGGGCAGAAGAAGGAGCAGAGAGAGGCAAGCAGTGCTTATTGAACTGGAACTCATGCAAGGAAAATGAAAGTAAACTATGAAATGTTTGAACTACCATTGCTCTAATGGCAACAAACTTAAGAGTTCACAATAGAGCAGACACACTATTATTAAAATACTAAATTTGAACGTAAAGTCTCCTATAATAAATCCACAGAAATATATTAGAAATCAAAGGGCCACAAGCTTTTCTCAAGACAAAGCTTTTAGTCATGAGGTTTGAACAATGTCTTTGCATAGAGAAGCACATTTGCGTACACATGTGAAACGGCAACGTAAGATTTCGTGATGTTTATTAAAATGGAGACGACCCGACACCTCTTCAAGAGTTATGACAGAGCGTGAAGAACTGATGACATTGTACCAGATGGCGAATCTTGATTCAAATAATGCGTAGTCATCCCGTGCACTCATAAACGCAAAACTGGTCCATAAGCGTCTTAATCTGCGGATGAAAAACTATGACAGAAACACACAAAAAAAAAACTAGTATGCTTCAAGCAGACGCAAATGTCTAGGGTTTGGAATCTAAGGAACTGTTTGAGTGTCAAATCAAGCTCTCTGTCGTTCTCGAATAACAAAAGGACGTAGTTAGTTGAGTCTACGACCAAAACCAAAGGAGAACGTCACCAGTGCACACAAAATTGGCAGACATGATCTGCCACCAGTGCTATCCAATGCGATAATATATGTACAACACTCTAACCCTAAGTACACGACGAATGCTGAGGCACCTCGGTGACTAAGAAGACTTTGCGGTAGCTCGATCTCTCTCCAGCCTTGCATAAGAAGCCTCTCGGGAACAAGCTAGAATTGTCTTCTCGGTCACAACAAAATAAGTTGCCACAGTAGCTGTACATATTGCACAAACACGAAGGTGTCAGAACGAAAATTGACATTTGGCTATCCTACTCCCTGACTATGCTTCTAGTTAAAAAATTCGAACCCTGGGTTCAAGGGTTAGGGTTTATTTATGACGAATTATTTCTCGCGGAATTAACGAGAGATTGGTGAAAGAAGCGTTCAAGACATTTGAAGTACCTGAGGATATGATGAGAGCCTGGGCAGTGTAGTTGAGATTGGCTTTTGCCCAAGGAATCATTCGAGTCGCCGCAAGCTGTGGACAGCAGTTTACACATACAGCATCAGTACTTCTCCCGACTTTCATCGAAACAAGGGGAAACATGGGCCAGAAAACATGGACACCCCGCACTAAGAAGAACCCACCGCCATGGGACATCATAATCCTTGACGCTGTTCAGGGGGACAAACCAGAGGACATTTTTCTAGAATTAGATGTACTTCACGATCAAATCCTATCATTACGTAGCTTTCAAGTTCTCATTATACACTCCTGATCGACACTGGCTCCTCAAGAAGGGACAATTTGCGATATGACCTGTATTCAAGTATTCGGAAGCAAATTGTAGCGGTCGTACAATCAGCAAAAATAGAGGATTATGTATCCTGAGTTTGACTACACTTCCTTGACTGGTCAAACTCCCCGAGGCAGAACATGAATTTGTACCCAGTACAAGCCGACGTTTTCGGAACACATGCTAGTAAAAAGGTGTACCAGTTCACAGAAAAAGGTCCACCACAAGGAGTCATCGCGAAGTTGTACGAGAACGCACTACTCAAAAACTCACTCAAAAAGCTCAACCCTACGAGCTAACAGAGAAGTAATAAAGTCAACTGAACTCACGGTTGGAATTGAACTTGCAATGACCGCATATACGGCAGCTTCTAAACCCGCTCGTACTCCAGCTGCAAACACGAACCCAAATCAAAGTTTACATCGTTTACAAAGTTTACATCGGCAGATCTACAAACCACAGTCCCAAAGCTCTCAAAGAGGCGATTTTCAGAACCTGATCGTCAGATGCCGAGTAGAGTCGCTAAAATCAAAAGATCGAGCATACAATGAAACTCTGGCGAGCGATAAGCAGCTCTCGCTCCTTGACGAGCCACTTGCAGAATTATCACACTCAGAAAATATCATTTTTGTTTGTTCGATCAGCTCGATGAATCCCAAAATACTAAAACACGTAACCTGACGCTTGCGCAACGCTATGCGTACCACGTTCCACACTACGGCGAGAAAAGTGGCAGCGATCTGCCAGATATCGAATCTCTCGATATCAGCATAACTGGAGGCACCACTGACTTGCGAGGATCACCAATTAAAAAACTGATTTTCAGGAGATTACATACCGCAAAGAACATAATGCCATGCATGAATTCTAGAATTGGAGTGAGACTTGATTGCAAGAGAACTGAACTGAGCCAAGCTTTCGATTACACAAAAATAAAATCGAATAAATTCGCGGCCGATGAGCTTGTGAGGGCTCGGAATAGGAATTTTGCCAGCAGCAAACGTCCAGGAATCAGCGGAGATGAGATCGGAGATCTCACCATCGGTACATTCTCTAGCTCTGGCCAGACGGACTTCCTCGTCGGTGTTGTTACTGTGCTGCCTCTCATGATGAAGAACGGTATCCACCGTCGCCAGAGCAACTTCCTTCGCCGAAGGAATCATGAACCGAGCGGCAGCAGCAGAACACGGTCCGCACTCCGTCTTCCCCATCATCAGCTGTCTTTTCTGGCTCCACCAATCTCTTGCATTCGATGCCATTTGTGCTCAACTCAACTCGACTCGACTCGACTCGATCGCTACGGTGCCGTCGCAGTTGCTCCGAGCTGCCACTCCTCCACTCCCGCAATCCCCCCAAATCGGTTTAGGAAAAAACAGTCCCCCCGATCCGAAGCAGACCTCTCTTATTCCCTAGACTCGAGAGCTCGGAATCGCTCATACTCTCCGTTCGGCCCCCTGTCCACCCCAGGGCACAAGAATACGAGTTCAGGTCCGCAACGCTCCTCCCAGCCCGACACGTCACAGCGGCGCATGCAAGTGGACCCGCCTCTACGTGCTCCGGGAGGGACTTTACAAGTATTCCAACTCCTCCTCCGACTCTACGCAGTACGTGCTCCCTTGCGTGGTACGAGGCTGTCGATGACGACCCGATACTGCAGGCATACTGTGGTCACAGTTCGACAATCGCGGTCGAATTAAAACAATATCATCAATATCGCTTACTGTGATGCCCGACGCCGGAGTTCTAATTGCATGAATTGGAGAAGCCGAATTGAGTAATCATGATTATCGCTTACAGTAATGCCCGGAGATCGAATTGCATAAATCGGAGGAGGAGGCGCAGAGGATTAAATAAACTGTAGGAAATGGATAAGGCATAAGAGGGAACAGGAGAATCCAGGTTTCGGAATCTCCGAGGGAAGGACGGGACGTGGACGAAAGTGACAAATGGGCAGCGTCGGAGTCCGACCTGGCAAGGGCGAGCGAGCGCACGGGGCACGGGTCCGGACGCTCCAGGACGCTCCGGGAGCGTCATGAAAAGAGCGTCGCCAGTTGGTGACAGAGTTGGTGGGAGGGAGGGATGCTTCGAAGCCCAGCAGCCCGCGGTCTATAAATTCGCGGAGCCCCGGCGTGAGGTGCGCAGATGCAATTGCGAGCGGAGAGTGGCGGATTGCGGACTGAGGACTGAGGATTGATCGATGGAGAAAGTTGCGGGATTTCCGCGAGCGATGCACGATACGATGACGATCAAACTCGGCGTCACTTGCTTCTTGGGATGTCTATTGATTTTAGTGGTACAGCTTTCGCGTCTCCATGAACCTCTGAATCATTTCTGGGACATGCACAGGATATCTTCTTGGCGAATTTCAACGGAGCTTTAGAATATGCCTGATTCCGGAGCATTGAATTTTTCATGTGTGCATTTTCCATCAGGCGACAGTTTCAGCTGAGGATGCCTTGATTGCGGACATGACCTGTCGGGCCGAGTCCTTCGAGAAGCCTATCTGGGAGGGTGAATTTTTCCCCAACATAAGCTCCATCAAATATGAGGTAATGCTTGAGAAGAATGATCTCTTCCTCGAGAATCCCCTGCTCTCTTCAGGCTACATTGGTGGTGGTTCTCTCAAGATCCTCTGATAACTGCTACGCTGGTGATAAAGTATTGCCCGTGGTCATTGTGCAGGGTCCTTCAAGCCGTAATCCTCTCGCTTACAGGTGGTACAATGCTGAAGAGGTCATTCTGGGCAAGAAGATGAAGGTAGAAGGAAATTCTATAAGACCCACTAATAGTTCAGTCCATTCGAAGACATAGTCTGCACTGATGTTAAATTTGTCCGAAGTGGTGAGTTGAGTCTCTTTCGGTCTTCATAAGTCATTTGTTCTAACTGTTCCATTTCACAACGCAGGACTGGTTAAGGTTCAGCGTGGCCTTCTGGCATTCATTCAGAGGCGATGGAGGTGATCCATTCGGATCTCCAACGAGGGTTTGGCCCTGGGAGGACGGCTCTGATTCTCTGGAGATGGCTAAGATTCGAAGTAAGTTGCGTAATAACTATCAAGTTCGCCAATACTCGTTTGAGCTACTTAGCTGTGCGTTCACACTTGCTAAGTATTGGCTCTTGTAAAATATTCCACCTGAAAAATCAAGAGAAATTTATGGAATAAAGTCAGGGTTTAACCATCAGGTAGAGAAAATATTTTACAAAGATGCCAGCTTTTAGTCATGCAGCATACAAAAATGCATCAGTAGTGATCTTTTATCGGCCATCAGATTTCTTAACCACCGTGCTGGTATGTTTTGAAGTGCGAGCCAACTTCGAATTCATCGAGAAACTTGGAGTCGAATACTGGTGCTTCCACGATAGGGATATAGCTCCTGAAGGAGCTTCTTTGCAGGAAAGCAACCAAAATCTCGATGCGATTATAGCTTTGGCCAAAAAGCTTCAGGTGAGTCGCAAGATATTATGGAAGCCCTTTGCCACTCAATGTATGAATCTTAAGACAAGAAAGTCAGTAATTTTAGATTGCTTTGTATGTATGCTGGGAGAAAACATGGTGGCTATCACTTTGATTGATCATCCCTACAACTCCTGGTAAAAGAATTTGCATGTGTAACAGGAAGGGACAAACATACGGCCATTATGGGGCACTGCACAGTTGTTTAAGCATCCTCGCTACATGCACGGAGCTGCCACGAGGTACTTCAGCTCTCATGTTGTTTGTGGCAGTTTGATTAAGGAGAAAGATTTTGTCTGTTGTTGCCTCTAATCCTTTCGTTCTATTTTTGTTCGCAACAGTCCAGATGTTAAAGTCTACGCTTACGCAGCTGCACAAGTGAAAAAAGCAATGGAGGTGCGGTGGACTCATAGGCTTCCAGGCTGCTTATTTTCAGTTAATCAATTATGTTGGGGAAGGTTTTGGTCTTGACGATGATGTGTAACATAGAAGACATATGACCTTGAACTTTTCATTACTTATTATCCGATGAGACCTTATGATTACCGTTGTGTTCTATCAGGTGACTCATGAACTTGGAGGAGAAAATTATGTTTTCTGGGGTGGAAGAGAGGGCTACCAAAGCCTTCTCAACACAGACCTGAAGAAAGAGCTTGACCATATGGTTCATTCTTATCTCCTCCTCTTCTAAATTTATACTTTCTATTACATTGCTAGTTTTAAAGAGGAAGTAAAACTCTCGTTGGGCCTAGGGAGCTGCCATAGTATAGTGGTCAAGTCGCAAATACATATCATCCCATCAGGAGCAATTCTCAAGTATTAGGTAGCCAAAGGGAGTTGAGGAAACAGCTTAGGGCTGAAATTTTAGCAAGGTATCTTTGATGTTCTTACCTGACATTCTTTAATTCCAGGGAACCTTTTTCAAAGCAGCTGCAGCTTATAAGAAGAAGATCGGCTTTCAAGGTGATTATGGTGATTCAGTCATTTGGTATGATTCTTTCTTCGTGTTTCTTGTTGTTTTATGTGTTACTCCTAGTACTGTTGGCTCAAAAAGATAAGGTTGGTGACTTCTTTGATATACAGGGACCCTTTTACTTGAACCCAAGCCACAAGAACCTACGAAGCATCAGTAAGTGCTTCTTACTATTCAGCTGGTCTGAACTTTTAGTTTATGTGCGTAGAACAGCCTTCAAATGAAATTCCCTAGATCTTCCGATTTGTGGTCTGCGTCTTTTTGACAGGCAAATACTAATCAGCATTCCTATGCCAGATATGACTGGGACGCTGCAACATCCATCAGTTTCTTACAGAAATACGACCTTCTTGGTGATGATCTTTTTCTTGTGTAAAATGTTCATCACTGTTTGCGACAACCTTTTTTAATTCTGATCTTACTACCGTTCTAGCAAAAGTAGGCCTCGAGAAAGTTGAAAGTTGAAAGTTGAAAGAGATTTAAGCTTCATCATATTCGTAACTACTGTGCATATTTTTTACATCCAGGTGAATACAAGTTGAATATTGAGTGTAACCACGCAACCCTTGCTGGACACAGGTAAGAATTGACTAACAAGTTTGGGAGATGCTTGGAAAAATAGGGACTTAAGATAGTTGCTAATGCTCTCACATCAATCTTTCTAACCCTCCGGTGCATGCATACAGCGCAGTTCACAAATCAATCACCTGCTTCATTTGTATCTTATGTATTTGCATTTCACATGCATTTCATCTTCAATGTTCTAAACTTGGTCAATTGCACATTGTAGCTGTTTCCACGAGCTAGAAGTGGCAAGGATCAATGGAGTCTTGGGTAACATCGATGCCAACACAGGGGATTCGCAGACAGGTGAGCAATATTCTATCAAGAGGTTTCACCTAATGCACCGCCTCGCATGTTTCTCAACCACTTTACAAGTTTTTCATAGCCCAGTATTTGAAACTTTTCAATTGAGCCTTGTTCTGGTGCAGGCTGGGACACTGATCAGTTCCTCACTAACGTTGAGGAGACAACGCTTGTCATGCTCACCGTCATCAAAAATGTAAGATAATCTCCCCGCTGAACCTCATTTACTGTACAGTGCTCTTTAATTGAAGAAAAAAAATTGACTTCCTAGTCTTCTAAGCAAGTGGTTGACTAGCTGTTATGTTGATAACTGGTCTTGCAGGGAGGACTTGCACCCGGGGGCTTCAACTTTGATGCTAAATTGTAACCTTTTCTAACCATATTTTTTATAGTCTCTCTCAACTTGAAAATGACAATGTCTGACGGAGCCTGAGCGTGCACAAAATTTTGTGCTAAGCTGTTGAAAATATTTCGTCCTGAGCAGGAGGAGAGAAAGTATAGATGTGGAGGACTTGTTCATTGCTCACATCCTTGGCATGGATTCTCTGGCCCGAGGATTGATCAACGCAGCGAAGCTTTATACGGTAATCTAGTCACACCACGTTATCCGATTTTGCACGTTAAGGACAATGTCATAGTCCAGAGTCTGTCACGAAGTTACCAGAGTCTGTCACGAAGTTACCTTGGTCCATGTGTATTGAACTTTTCTAACTTTTATGCACGTGTTTTTTGTGCAGGACGGCACTTTAAGCGACTTGGTGAGCAATCGATATGCAAGTTTTGACTCCACTGTGGGAGCGGATATCGAGGTTTCACCTTTTACACCTACATCTGATGTCTCTTGTCAAAAGTTCTTGTCCTCTCCCTAACATCCTTTCATTCTGTGCCGGTGTTCTTGTATGAGTTGTTCGCTTATTTCTACTCACTTTCATTGCAGTCTGGAATGGTGGACTTTGACACATTGGAAAAGTACGCATTCGGCTGGGGTGAGCCAACAATCACTTCAGGAAAGCAGGTGCGAAGACGTCTTTTGTTTGGATTGTCAAAATTTGTTATATGTGCAAGTAGTCTGATTCAGGAATCCTTCCATGAGCAAATTCGAATAACTTTGATAGGGAGAACTTTCTAAGAAAAATGTTGAATCACCGATTGCAGGAACTTGCCGAAATGATTTTGCATTCGTATACCTGAATTATTCTCCGTTCAGCCTCGGAAAACGATGCCGGAATTTTGAGTCGGATCGAAATGCCGGCCTGGTGGTGTAGCTCTTGTACAGCACTAGCATCTTCTCCATAGAACTTATACAGTTGCGGTTTTATTTCTACCTTCATGTAGAAAAGCTTGCCTTGCAGATAGACCTCGAATGAACAGTAACTCTCTGCAGACTCAAGAATGATGTTGACAAAAGCTGTTTTTATTAATGTATATACCCTTCAGGGCATCGGGTACTTTCCGTCTTCATTTCCTACTATGAGTTTCCTCTTGTGGGAAAACCTAGAACCTTGTAAGGATTTCTGTTTGAACTGAAAAGTTCACACATCTACACTACAATAATACATGTATCCTGCCTCTATGTATGCTACATATTAAGATGATAATGATATGTACAATATATACAGATATGTACCTACCATCTACACACGAAGGAAGTCTAGTCTTTCGCGTTAATCCAACACCACAATTTGACCTGCGCTGATAACAAAGAATGTATTGACAGTTACTCAGCACGCAGCCAGGTATTCATCTACACGCTCCTTGATTCATCATTCTCACACCCGCTTGCTCTCCCAAAGGAGGTGAAGACCAGGCATGACCTTCCGCGATCTTTACCAGTTGGAAGAAAAGCTGTTTCCACGACTCGAATATGAATTGCCTCCGAAGAGTCGTGACACCTCCAACGCCTACACTGTGTCCAGGCAGACAGAGTTGATCTGCAGCAAAGCCAACAACTGTTTTTCTGCATTATGCCCAGCCTTGGCGCGAAGGCCCACTCACTCATCCACCGTCTTCAGATAGACTCCCAGATACTGAAGATGGTCAGAAATGCTGTTCCCAGTCACAGATCTGCTGCACTCCGGATCTTCCCCGGAGCTGTCACATACTTGCTCGAATTCATACTGCAGACGGCCAACTTGGATTTTGAAGATCCACACTTCCGTGGCAAAATGATGATAGGTTTTCTCCCCGAGGAGAGTGTAGTACGGTGGCAAATGTGGCACAATATCATGGGCATGCGTCATGCGCACGGTGTTGGGAACCAGAGCGTAGTAACCTGCAGCGAAGACGGAATTCCCAATTCGAGGCTGGCCAAAGGTTATGACCTTCATATCAATCATCCCGAAATTGGCAGCGAGATCCAGAGCACAAAGAGTGGCCATGGCTCCCCCCATGGAATGGCCGGTAACGATAATTCCTAGATCATTCCGTCTGGCCAGTATCGAGAGAACGCCTCTCACCACACTGTCCCGAAGAGTTGTGTTGTGGTAAGCTGAATAGAAGCCGCTGTGCACCATGGCATCCTCGATGCCGGGATAATTGAGATCCAGCTGCCTGAAGTAGAGGTCCTCTGCCCAATTCTGATAGCTTGTCTCCTGAGTGCCACGGAAGGCGATGACAATGGCCTTCAAATCCTCCGCCACCCCCACATACGCCTGCAGGCAGTGCGGCACGTCCACGATAAGCTCGGTTATCTGGAACCCCGAGGTCAGCCCCTGACATCGCGAGCAGGTCCAGGACATGAGCGCCGCGGGATCATCCACATACACGGCAGCTGCATACTCGACGACATAGAGCGCCAAAGTCCTGTTGTACAAGCAGTCCCGCGACTGGCCGTGCGAGAAGCGCTGCGGAACCAGCGACTGCAGAGCTTCCTCTGCGCCTGGAGATCGAAACCCGACCAGCAGAACGGCAATTATCGATTTCCAAATGGCGCCCAAACCGAGAGCCAACCCCATAACTCTCCGCGACGCCCAATCCGACAGTCTGCTCCTTCTGCTCCTTCCGCTCCCTCCCGAAGGACTCCCAAACTCCGCCCTGGCCCTGACCCCGGCCCCCTACTCCACCATACGCCACACGAATCCCCCACGCATCATGCCCCAATTCTCCGAAATCGCCCACTCCAATCTATGCGGCCCCTCAAACAATCGATAGAATTTGCCAATCCCCAAGTTCCCACATCGTTCTCCTCCCAATCTCCTGCGTCGTCTCCTGTTCTCGTCCTCCCCGTCTCCCTTCAATCCACCACCGGCCCTCCCTCTGCTCCTCCTCCTCCTCCTCCACCCTCTGCTCCCTCTGCTCCCTCTGCTCTGCTGCCTCGCTCTCCAGGCACCTCGAGCACTTGGCCTGTCTGTCTGCTCAGTCCTGACGCATGAAGGAAGGTGAGACTTTCCGCTAAAGCATTATCTGTGCAGATAACTTACAGCGTCACCGTTTGGGGAGGCGTCGAAGATTCACCTTCCGCCACATGGATGCTCATGCGGGCTCTCTCTCTCTCTCTCTCTCTCTCTCCCTCTTGAGTGCCCCGGTACCAACCTTGCAATAAGTGCGCGGAATGATGTTCGCGGGCGGGAGTGCATCGATGGCCATGACGTAGGCACCGCTTTTCAGTTGCGGTGAGCAGAGCCCGTACTCAAGCCTCTCTCCGTTGCCTCGGCAGCACGACATGGCAGTTCCTTCACAAGTCCCCATGCTTCCTCTCTCCTCTTCTCCTGCTCTGCCAAGCTTTGACACTCCCTTCGAAGTTTAACTCACTCCTGTTCTTCACTTTCATCACATATCGTCGATGAGGAGGTTCAATTCCGATGCATTGCTTTTCAGTCGATACAATTATGTTGGTCGGGAGAATTAAATGCTTCCGAATAGATTCATGTATTTATCTTTGCCTACAATCATTTGAAGTGATTAAGAAGTTAGATGAGTTAGAAAAGTTTTGCCATAAGTTATGAAAAGGTGAGTGAGAGTCGAATTATAGTGAAAGTTGAATGATGAAAGTACACCATAAAAGAAGGTTCCGTCTATAAAGTCTTAAATTCGGAATGTAAATCTTCTATAAATGTAATTCTAGTTGTAGGAAGAATGGTAAGATACTTGCATATCATAAAGAACTAGATATTGTCCTAAGATTATAAACATTATCCTTATCATTCTTAGAGAAAATTTTTTAATATATGATTTGTAGTATACTTTTGAAGCTTATTTAAATGATTTAACAACATTCAAATTGCTGTTGAACATGAGCTTATATTTATTCACACTCATGGAAAATTTATTACGGTAGATTTTATATTTTTGTTCTGATCAATTTTCTATATATATATATATATAGAAAAATTCAAAAACTCTTATATATATGAGAGTTTTGGAGTTCTTGTCAATATTCGTAGAGAAGAATTTATATACGATTTTTCTGTGTAAGGAACAAACAGATTTTGACTTTTTTTTTCTAATCTTAAACCAATTGATGTAATCTTTAAAATCTTATATGATTATATATATTTATATCTATAATATATATAGTATTAAAAGATGATGATAGCTTTTGAAATTCTTCAAAATACCTTCAAAACTAATATATACTATTTTTAAAATAAAATAGATTTTTACTATAGTTATTTAAAACTAAGTATGTAAAATTTTGCTCTGCAATGTTATCTAAAGTAGCTTATGATACTAATAACAGATTTATAAGAATTTATGCTAGTAAATAAATGATACAAACTGAAAAAAATATTTATCTAACGTAATTGAAAACCTTTGATTGTAATTTATTAGCTCGAATCATTGCCAATAAAATGAAAGATATATTATTATAAAGAACATTGAAAATATAATGTATATAAAACTTATGTTAAGTATACAATAGCAAGATAAAATCATTTATGAAATTTTTTTTATAAAATCATGAAATAGTATATCAATGAAAGATGTCAACGTTGATTTTATCTATATCCAGTTTTCCTTAGTTCTTCCTTACTTTTCTGAACCCATATTTATCTGCTTTTTCACAAAACATGTGAAATAAGTGGTCTGTTATCCAAAGCTTTAAAGAAGGGATTAATGAAAAAATATGTCCATCGTATTGATAAGAGTTTCATAAGATATGTACAATTACACGCTAGTTGTACTGTTGCAGTTATAGGCACCTTAATATCTTGGATAGCAACCTTTTGTTGCCAGTTAAAGTGTACCATTCATACTATCTCTACTCTTCTCAAATCTACCAATTCAACACATCGGATCAATGTCGATTTTTAATTTTACTGTGGAATATTGCACAGTAATTTCTTGTCGTCAAAATCTTTAAGCTGCCCCACTTGTGCAGAAGATGGCTAGAACACCTGAATTGCAGCACACAAGAGAATTTCTCGTGGGTCGAGCTAAACTTTGGTGGCTTGACCAGATAAGTCTAAGCGCCACTGGGTCCTGCACCACCAATTCCGCCTCTAGGAGCATCTGAGGGTGAAACAGCACCGGCTGCATTTGCCTTGTCATAAACTTCCTTCTTGCGGTGCAGGATATCCTCCAGCTTACCCAACAATCTCTGCCACGACAGACAGAGCGTAATAAGTATACTCTGAATTCAAACGGGATTCCGCTGCAGGTTATAGCTTCTGCAAAGCAAGACATCTACTTTAAAGAACTAAGGCACATTCCCTAGTCAATTCATGGGATTAGAATTAAGGTTTCAGGTTCCTCAATGGCAGAGCTCTAGAAACGCAAATGATAGCTTGCATGCTATCATGACGAATACAATATTCTTTCAAACACCTGATCTCGACAGTATTCCTGCTTCAATTTGGGCAGAAACCGATTTGCTGGCTGGGTGATGCCGGGCTAGGGTAATTAAGTATTTATTGTTCTGATGGTGCCTCCAAACATTCAGTAAGAATACCTTGTCCATTTCTTCTCTTAGTTATTTTCTCCTCAGGATGCAAACTCTAAGCTCTGGGGGCTGTCTCAGATGTGTGGCTTAAGAGGATTTAAAGAACGGACTGCTGCAACGACGGTTTATCAAACCAGGTCCTCCAGTTTGAAAGCCAAGACATACCTAGCTTTCAAGCTTCAGACCTCAATGTATGGCCTCTTGAACAAATCAAGAGCCTCATTGAATGCTGACTGGGTGATTTTCCCTGTCAACCCTTTAGGCAAGGTGAATCGAAATCTGGCCTGCGGAAAATTGAGTGGTCATTATGATCAACTCGTGCCGGAGTGGATTATTAAGCTGCTTACAAACCAACGTTTGCAAGAAACTCATGGAAATTGTCGATCTACTTGACACCTACCAAGTAGTTCGACAAATCTTCATTATGATCTCGAAATCCGAGACTTCATAAAAAAAAGCTTATCACGAACTACCAGAAAAAATCAAGTTGTAATTGCAGATTTGTGAACACCTTGGATTGGTATGTTTGCAGTGAATACACTCATCGTTCATTCCTTAGGACGTGGAGATATGAAAAACACTTGGCTTAAGGTAGTGTCAAATGGACAGCATTCGTCTTGGGTACAAACCTTGAACTGGTCACGATTTATGGAAACAACTTTGCATTTTGTCAAAGCGGTAACTGTAGCAGCACGAGGAGCATCATTAAGCAGAGCCAGCTCTCCAAAATAGTCTCCACGTTTATAACGCATCATAACCTTTCCTTGTGACCTTGCTTCTGCTTCTCCCTACAGTTAGTGATCATGTACATGAACTCAATTTTGAGTAAGGAATCTAACAAACAAGCTTTTCAAAATAAATTCTAAGTAACATAATAGGGGAAAAAATTCCTAACAAGTCATATATGACCTTAACAAGGGTTTCAATAGCACAATCACAAGTATCCGAGCATATAAGCCTTGCGAGAAGCTTAAAAACAAAAACACAACAATCACATACTTGGTGGAAATCATCAACTTCATGATGGTGCAGCCGGATATACATCGTCCGACAAGAAGAATTTTAAGAAGCAAGCGAAGTGGATAGAGAAAGCCGGCGTTGTAAAGTTTCCAAAGTATCAGAGAAAAGACTACTGAAACATATATGGTGCTTAAGTCATCTCTTCTTACCTCTTCCCCCCTAAAGCTCCCGATAATACAGATTATCTAGAAGTTACAGACTTAACCATTGCAATGAGAACAATCCGATGGCTTCTGAAGAAAGTCGACTTTATATCAGACCTTTATTTCATATGAACCTACGAAACATGTATGTCTTAGTTATACAGTCAATGTCACAATGCAAAATTTATCCAAGATTATGAACCCTTATCATGTATTAATCAAGCAAGCAAGGGATCATAGGTCAGTCTTAAATACTCATATCACAAACGCGGTTTACACAAACTTTGTCATACAATCTCCAAGTTTTTCTTTAGACCAGAACATAACGTTCTTCGTCACATCCAGAAAGTGGGACCATGCGATGAGAAAATCTACAAATGATTTCATTACAGAATGCAACGGATGTCCATAATTGATAGAGAAGCATGTGGGTCAAATTTTTAAAACAATGGTTTTAGCTAGTTCTTGTGTAAAATCCTGGGCCCCAGCAATATCGCAAACTACAGAAGGCTCCTCAAAACAAAGCGTAGCACAATTGTTGAAACATGATACTGAGAACAAAATCTAAAAGACACATTAAACAGTCAAGTATTGAAAGTCAAAATTGGCCACGAGAACAATACCAAGAAGAATTAGAGACCAAAGTGACACCCATTACAAGAATTGTATATAATACTGAAGATTTTTACCACTGGCATTATATGAAATTGATTTGTTTTGATGTACCTCTTCAATCATATAAAATTTATCTCCCTTCGCTCCTTCAGCTATAATTGTTTGTTGGGGAGAAAAATATTCCGGCTCCAAAACATCCGCAATTGAAGATCTCTCATACTTGTCAAGAGTCTGCAAGCAATAAGAATAATTATAATAAAAATCTTTGGATTGCCGAGGTTTTCTTTTGACCTTATAGTTCCTTCAATTTTTTTTTCATCTCTGCATGAAACAGTTGTACTTGAGTACAAGAAGACCCTCACGGTTTGCCTCAGGCACTAATGCTTCAAACTAAAAGAGCCTATGAACCTGTAGCAATGACCTCAAAGATGGATCTGGGAGCTTGGTGCTTGTCCTCCGCTTATCATTTTGGTTGATAGGACAGAGTTCAAGAGTCTCTATAAACCTTAGTCATGGGACGATTTGAACCAAATTCATGAAGTGAGGTTAAAAAAAGTGTTAAGGGTGTTGACAGTGGGATTCGAACCCACGCCCTTTCGGACCAGAACCTTAATCTGGCGCCTTAGACCAACTCGGCCATATCAACTTGATGTCATCAATAGAAAAAAAAGAAAATATATTTTAATTCTTACTTTCAGGAGAGGCACGTCACTTAAAAACTTCTCATACAAATTCCTTTTCTCGTGAGTTGTCGTCATGAGAATAGCCCTAAAAGTTGACCTGTCCATAGCCCACAGCACGCAATCAGTCGTGGCCTGCATCCAACACACCAGAGCGATTTGACTTAGCGGGCTTGAAAGCGCTTCTGCTGGTTACATACACCAACAGCATTGGAAGTTACAGAGAAATTGACCTTCACAGTGGCGGCTCGAGGAGCATTATAGAGGAGAGCAAGCTCTCCAAATGTGTCCCCCGAAGAGTACTGTTTCACCACCTCTGGCTTTTTCCCTCCCGGCTTCGTCATCCAAACTTCAGCAGCTCCTTGCTGTCAACAGATTTCAAAGTTACAGCTAATCAGAGAGCCTTGCATATAGGCTGTTGGAAGAATATGACTACGAACCAATGCATCGGTGTATATACTGTCCTACCACAACAGGATGTTCATACACTCTGGTAGTCTTTTGAACACGATAATCAAGGCTCTGTAGAAGTCTATACCCCCCTAATGATTCAAGTTGTACCTTCTTATTCGTTAACCCTAAGTTTCTGATACTGATTTCCCTTCATCCACTTACTCTTAAATGGGGAGATAAAAAAATCCACAGGGGTGCTGCACCTCTAGGAGATAAAAAAACTCGCCAGGTTCTCCTTGATGGATGATGACATCCCCTTCGTTGAAATGAACTTCTTCCACTGCTTCGACTATCTGTTGCACAAACTCAAGAAACGGTTTTCTCAAATCCTTACGTGTACACTTGTAATAATAAGCCAAAAATTCGAAGAGTAAATAGAATCTGCCAATTTAAGTAATAGGATCCTTGTAATACTTCAAATACATCTGCCGTTAAAATGCAGTCAAGCTGAAACAAAAGCATCCTACCCTTTGTGATTGTTCCTGGTCGAGATGTTGAAGAAGGTAGTTCTTAGAAAAGAAGTTGCGAATACGTTTTTTAGCGTCTTCACTCTTATCTACCACCTGTGCATCAGCAGAGTTTATCAAGCGTCAAACTTGACAACTACATATAAGATAGTACAGGATCAGTCAGTAGGACGTGGGATGCAAGAGACAGGAGGAACTCAAATCGACGTGTCCCAAAGGTGCCAGCATGAATAACTAGATGGAACGCAACAAGAAAACGATGATAGAAAAACTGGGACATGCATGTATGAAGCTGTTAGCATACTTAAAGCTCGAGTTACGGCGATGAGTGCGAGGAGGGGAAGGTTAAAGAGACAATGTCAATTCATTTTAGTGATTTCAGACAAGTGCTTAAAAATAGGACAAACAATCTTGACAAAATGCCCATGAGAGTAGTGGTTGCCACAACATAAGGACGGGTCTGCCGCAAGTCATTGTCTGGATCATATTTGTAGAAGGTAAGTGCAAACCTAAATGAATAAGAACTAAACGACCTTTGCAGTTCAAAAAAGCCTGAGTCCTTGCCTTTGTTTCGGCTTTTTCCGTCACAGTTTTTACTGAAGAACTGACACCCGTTCGTCGAAAGGAGAGGGTCTTGCTCCTTTGCCTTTGCCTCTGCATTCAGTCACGTATACTGTACGTCAGAAATTTAGCATTCTGATTCACGGCGAAAGATTAACAAGATTACATCAGTTACATCAGATGGATGATGCAAGAAAGTGCGGGCAATGCATCAGCAGCGGCTCCCCAGCCGCTGCTGGGGAGCGGGATCAAAATTAAAGCCCACGCAGAAATTTTTACAATTTTTACACGCAGAAATTTTTACCACATTGCACACCTCGACCGACACTAAACCAAAATGATCGTAGGTAGGCGCAGACTTCATTTAAATTGTGCACATTGAATCGAAAAGTCTAGAGCACTATTCTCCTCGGCAAACGAGCGGATGCTCAAATGGCATGAGAAAAACACCGAGTAGTAGGTTTCTGTTTACATATTAAGGGCTTAATTGAGTGGCTAGTGCGCGTCTACGAAGATTGGGTCAATCTTTGACAACTTTTCCATCTTATTCAGCACATCAGAATTTAGCACTAAACCCTCCACATCGCGGCCACAATGCTTGGCCATTCTTCATAAATATTGACATGTATATCATTTCACGACACTAATGCTCTGATCTTAGCTCCTAAGAAAATTGCTTACACCCAAAACGGTGGGAGAATACGAGATCGAAAGAATAAGGAAACTTAACGAGAGCAACATTTGGTGGGGGTCCCGAAATGCTCTTCGCCTTTTGTTTCAGCTTGATATCAGCCATGCCAACCATAATGTCACGACCGCTCGACGAAGCCATGACAGATTGTCTCACACGATGTCCTTCAACACGCAATGAAAGCAGAAGCCTCGCAAAATCTTTGTCAGCTTTGTGGCGAAATTTGGGATTTTCGATTCCACCAGAGTCGGAACCCAAAAGAAGCCGTCTAAGAAATACCTCACAAACCTCTCGAGCTTCGGTAGGATCCGTATAATCAGGATCGAACGTAGAGAATTATAACACAAGCAGCAGAGATATCGAAGGTTGGAGAATGTGAGGCGGTTGATCAAAGAGGCATCCATATGCCCTTTCCTTGCCTTCCACCATCTTGCTTCCGATATTCCTGATAGCACTCCAGTTTCTTCTGGACGGGAATCAGGAATGCAGGCTATATCCCAATTGTCTTGGTCCCCCATGAAGGTGTTAAAGCGTGGACAGTGCACGTGGACGACAACTGGAATTACAGTGCGGATTGAATGAGCAGAGAATGAAGTGAAGCTGAGAAAACGATTTCAAAACATTCATTCGACTGTCCTGGTCTCAATAGTGGTACATTTAGTTCTCCAGTCTGTGCTAAAACCACATGTACTTTTCGACTCGCCACATTCTGTAAGTCGTCAAGAACACAGCGTGCGAATCTTGAACTTGGGGAACAGTAAACTATTTCCTGTGACGACCGGGTGATTATGTTCCCGAATACATTCCTATCTGCAACGATCTGAATCCCCACTTGAGACGACTTCAATAAGCAAAGAACCTCATTTTCCTAAACTTGGGATTTGTGGGTCCAGCAATCTCTTAGAAACTCATACCTGCCCTGTTTGTCGAAGGATGCACGAATGGAATTCTGGTGCTTTGTTAAAACATGACTCTGATGCTACTCCGACTTCGAACAAAAGATCAAACACAACCACATTGTTTTGTTTCTAGTCGCTCTCGCGCCTTTGCCATCTCGCGCTTTAAAGGTCCAAGAAGAAGCAAGGAAAACAAAGTGCAGCTGAAATTCTCAAGGCTGCGCCATCGACGCGGAGAGGATCAGGCGCATGTCAATTCGCAGGACATTTCACGGCCGATTGACATCCGCGAGGTCCAGCATTTGGCGGCCACAACGTTCTTCTTCACATTGCCGTGTGCGCGTGCACTCTGTATCAAGAAAATCAGAACGCGTACCAATTTCTCGATGCTTTGGGAGCTTTTCTCGTGAGATGGACATGGCAAGTTAGTCAGCACACAAAACTCTTGTTGAATGCTGTAATTTTCCTCTGAGCCCTCTTACTAGACAAGAGTACGTGGTTTAATTTGATCACGAGCATCCTCTACATTCGCTTTATTTTGAAGATCAACATTCTCCAAATCAGTCTTTATCTTAATTCTTGTAACTACAAGAGTGCAGATACTTCATTTTGGTTTGGCTACCAACTCCTTTTTTCTATAAAGATATGTTAAGCCTCGGCTTATTATATAAAATATCCTTATTCAGGTGTGTGAGTTTGATATTACCTCGGATACAACACACGTTGATATGAACTCATTGTCTGTGAAAATGCAAAGTACATTCATGTTGTATGTAACGATAGTAGTAAAAATGCGTGGACTAAAGTAGAGTAAAGACTACATAACAACATAAAAGGATCTATCATTTTTGCGAAGTTAGTCTATAGGTTACTTTAGTCCACACATATTGCAATCACTATGTAAGACATGATGCATATTCTCATGCATTTCTTGTTTGTACACCATTTGACATTTATTTTGAACTTTAAAGATGCATCATGATATATTTAGAGAGCTACATGTTTGATTTCATCAATGAATCACTTGATAGAATTTTTTAGTTTTTTTTTATAAATATTATATAATATATTGTTAATATTCTTGCACTGATACATGTATGTCATCAAACCACAATTTCCTTGTACATCTATATGAAACCTGTTTTACTTCAAGAAATATATATTAACCAATAGATACCATCATAAAGTTTATGGCTGTGTGCTTGCAAGGGAAAGATAAACAGTTTTACCATTGTTTCGATGGAGCAGGATCAGATTCTCAAAGACAACTCGATCAGGACTCAGATGTACCCGCTCCTTTGAATCTTACCTCTTGCCAATCGATCAACTGACCAATGGTCCGACGACTCTCCTTCGGGTATCCAAGGAGCTCATGAACACTAGAAAGCGACCACTGGGACCATGGGACCATGGGACCAACTTAAGTCAAAGCCGTAGCTTCAAGAGAACGAGCTGGAACTTTCGGGGAAACTCAAGCTCACAGCACAAAGGGTGGGAAGCTGGCTCAGAACTCACTGATGTACAGCTCCACCAACCAAGTCCAGCACTACCATCAAAGTATAAATAGTGATGGAGCTTGAGTTTAGTAAACCAGGCCCTAGGGCCAGGTTAATTAAATACGCTGTAAAGCACTTGACTTACAATCGACTTATAGGATAGGTCCTCCCAGATAATCGGACGGCAAAGATCATCTGAGGTTCTTTAAGAAGAGCACTCGTGGGCATTAAGAAGGATTGGATATGCATGCCAAAAAATATCCTTCGGACAACTCTCAGATCCTCACCTCGTCTCTCATGTATTTCTTCCGGTCGAAGTGGTGGGGTGCTCTTATCCGACAGATTATGAGATTAAGCTAAAGGTCAAGAGAAACTTGATAGAGGTAGCTGAACGATGTGTACTGTGTAGTATATGGTACTTGGTGGTGTAGTGTACAGTACACTGTGGGGACTGAACCACGTACAGGAATGGACTTGAATTCTTGAAGTGTTGCAGTTGAGAGAACCCTGTGCGTTTCCACGTTTGGAGACCGTTGCGGTCAAGGGATACCGGCTCTGCGCGCTTTTTGAATGCCCATCGGTCACATGTGCCGAGAGTGCAGCGGGCACGTCAACCGTCCTTCCAGCACTTCCTTCGTCACTGTCCAATCTTCAGTTGTTGGAGACCACGAGGTAAGAACATAAGATCTGACAGCACTACGAAGAGCGATCTGCGAGTCAGTGAATCTCTCTGCGTGCATAAGAACTTCACCGCTACGCTTCATCTTAATCTCTGCAGAATCAGTTGGATCTACAGACTCTGCACGGTTTTTCTGGAAGTCGCGATCCAAATTCTCGATCTAGTCACTCGGACGTTTGGAACATTCAAGTAGGACGCGTAATCTACTGGACGCCATGAGAGTCTAAACCTCGTGCAGGGCATAATCTAAGTCCTGGACATTTCACAACATCTTCTTAGAATTTTCTTACTAGAGCTACGGAGCTCTTCACTCTTTCGCTGCTAACCAGTCCGAAACAAATCTGATCCAACTCTTACGACACAAATTCCTCGTAGATCGCAATATTATTGCAGAGATTATTGAGAACGGAATTGAATAGCCAAACTTCTAGTCGGACCCCAAAACTTTTTTATAAGTAAGCCGATTGTGCGAAAATAGCCAATTATTTAACTTGATTCCGCAGTAACTGGTTTTCTGTTACATACCAGGTCAGGCAGGCATCGGTAAAGGCTTGATTGGTGATGGACCATCACCACTGATGGTTCTTTCCTTCATCGCCATCACTGATGGTTCTTTCCTTCATCGCTCTTCTCCCGTGATACCACATTTTTCAGACAAATTGCACAAATGCTTGCAACCAGGAGACAAGCATAAAGTATCTTTATGCGTGTCGAAAGTACTTTATCGAAAGTACTTCGATTTACTTGAAGAAAAAGACAAGCCCCATGATACACGAAATACACTGAAAATAAAATGAAGGAAGGAAGAAGAAAAAAAGGGGGCCAAGTTGATAGCTAAGATGGGAAGACCCCATCAAATCCTACAAAGATAAAACTGAGAAGGGTATGTCTCCATTGTAGCATGATGAGAATTATGCTATAAGACACTTACAATATTAAAACAATTCGACTTAAACTAGATTTAAACACAATATTGTATATTACTCTTAAATGTGTAACATTCATTATTGCTATTAGTAAAACACTGGAAAAAATTTGTCCAAAGATAAAAATGTGTACATTTGTTGGAACGGGCTTGCACGAAGTACAACAAACATTTCTTTCGCTCACGGCTATTTGCTACTCTTTGATATTGATGATGTTTCAAAAGAAAAGACTCATATATGCATAGCATTTATTATGTAAAAGTTGCAAAATTTTTGATGATTGTATGACAATAACATAGAAACAATAATTATGATCACGTCAATGCATATGTATTTATGGTTTATGAATAAATTCAAAAAATAAAATCTTTGATAGTTTTTCGAAAAATTCACCAGTGACACACTTGATCATTTACATAAAAAATCATATTATCTAATTAATTATTATTTTTAAAGATCAAGTTTGATTATAATTTTTGGATTTGCATTCAAATAGATAGAAAATTTTTAAAAATTGAACATAATTTTTTTCAAAATATATATAATTTAATTTAAATTTATATTATTATTTTGAAAATATATATACATGATTATTTTCTGACCATGGAATTTAATAGTTTATAATTTTGTAAAACAGTGAAAATCAAATCATATATAATTCATCTATCATGAAAATGTATAGTTGATGGTATAGGTAATGGTTTCAACAGTTTTTTTGGAATAATTTTTAGTGTGTAATTTATATACGCATAGATTTTTTATTTTTTATTAAATTTCAAAAAATACAACAAAAATATTTATTATATATTACTCAAATTATGTCAAAAAAATTGAAAATGTTTTTGAATTCAATAAATTTTTTTTAACTGAACCAAAAAAACATATTTTTGATATATGTATCAAATAAATAATAAATTATTTTGTAATGCTAGCTGTTTAGAATTTATACTGCCGCATTGACTTAATTTAAATAAATAGTTTCATAAAACGTAACAATATATATTTAATAAAGGTTTCACATACTTATAATAATGTTATTCTATTATACTTTGTATCATATATATGACATAAATGGCTTATTTTATGTTATAAAATTTAAAACATTTAATCGATGCTTAGACATATATCATTTATAACTTCATAATAAAAATGATTTGAATCGGAAATGAATATGCATATGATAAAGTTTCACAGAAGTAAAATGTCTGAATAAATTGACGAAGAACAAGCTGAATATGCTTAGATCATTTATCGTATTCAATAATCTAGCATATGATTATCATGTCCAATTTAGATGAATCTATCATATGTAAACCTAAATAATAACACAAAGAGATTGCACAAACTTGACTCAATTTTTCATAAGCGTAGAAAGCGTTTTTTGGGATCAAGTTCTTAGTGAAATTTGGATGCTCCGTACTTTATAACTTGTTATGTATTCTTTAAAAGTTAGTCATTACTAAAATATGTGCAGATTATAGAATTCATAGAAAATTTTAATCTTTAAAGTTGATTTAATTTCATGTATTAAATACGTGTAAGATAAAGAGATGAGATTACAGAAATTTTGTTCAAAAATGAAATAAATTTGAAGCAAGTTTTCATGATACCACAATCTTCAGTATGATATAAACCATGAATCTTGTCACTGCTTTCAGATTAAAGTGATCTCAAGTTTATGGAGGACATGAGTGACATGTTCACAATTTTGACTCCGAACTGATAATAAACTAAACATGAAATCTGTAAATAAGACGAAGGATTTATTTAATGTAATATGGAAAATGAAAATATGTGATTATGAGTAACAATGTATTTATTCATCATAAGAAATTAGAAAATGAATAGCAGAGAAACCAACCAATGGTAGAGTAGGAACTGCTTTGGTTGTTAAAATTTAATGGATTCTTTTCAATCAAAAATTTGAGAAAGTATAGATGTAATAAAATTTTATACCCAAGAATAAGAATACAATGAAACGAAAAGGATGAAACTGTAGATACAAGAGTTATAGTTGATGTGATGTTGAGGAAGATTCTGGAATGTACCTTTCGTCCAATTTCTTTGACCTCGTTGACTTAGTATAGAAATGGTGTGGACATTCGAGGAGAAAACGAACTGACGGTTTCTAAACGATATAAATTCAAAACTTATGTTAACGGTGACAAGAAAGTGTTGCTTGTCTACTTTGGCGGGGCTTCTAAGTTTTGATGAGTTGGCGTCAGGCCAATTGTTGACACCCTCCGCCGTTACACTTTCCGTTCTTGAGGAAGAGTTCTCTAATTCTAGGCTGGAGCTACGCTAGTTTGAAGTTCTTCTGTTGATCAAATTTTCTACTAATTAAATAATCGTGTAACAAGAATACACGTAAATCTATATACATATATAAATAAAACCAAATATATAATCAAGAGATTATGTCTACTCTCTGTTGTTCTTCCTTTGGAGTTACAAGGAACCATTCTTTCATACTGTAATGGTTAGTGCAATTGACGTTATTTGCAATTCTTTAGGTGTTCATCTAAAGGCTCATCTTATAGATTGACAGCCCCAACTAAATCATACCAATATAGTTGCACCTGGATATATTTATAAAATAGTAGGTAGACTATTCATTGGTGATGCTGTTGTGTCCTAGCCGCATGTTTTTCTTGGGTTTCATTAATGTTGGTTAGAAAGCATCTCACATCCTTTTGCTATATAATCCGAGGTTGGCTCGATAGCATCTGCCATCGTTATGCTAAATATGTCGGGCTTCAAATTAGAGCGAACGAGACATCAGCAGGGGCCGGCCAATTGGAAGGGCTTGGGGCCAAATGTGGAGATTTGGCTGTAAACGAGCGGAGAACTGTTTAGGGTTGGCCAGCAATGCTGACATGGCCGGGAATAATGAGATGTCATCCTCGCACAGCCAATGCCAGGACGCGCCACATGGATAGCCCTCGGACTGGCGTGGTTTCCCCCACCCTCCGATCGGCCACGTGTAATCCGTCCGCCTCGTGGGTGTCCAGTGCCCGCCCTTCGTCTCTCATCTGCTCTTGCTTCGGGTCTGTGACCTTCGCTACCCACAAACTCGCTCTCGCCGTCGGCTCTCATTCTTCCGATTCATTCTCCGAACACTCTGCCTCGTTCCTCTCCCCTCTCCCCTCTCCCCTCTCCCTCCACTTCCCTGCCACCCTCCGCCATGGCCTCACTCGCCTCCGCTTCCCTTCTCAACAGGACCGTGTCGGTCGTCTCTTCGGCCGTGTCGTGCCGCAATGTCGTCGCCCAGAAAGTCGTACGTCGCTCGCCCCATGTCTCTCGATTTTTGGTGGGAATGTGTGTTTGCCTCGGGTTGATTAATTTTCCGCGCATCGACGTCGCTTTGAATTGTCTCATTTCTCCTCTTTCTTCTACTTTGCTGCTTTTTGGATTTACGGGTATCGGCGCTTAGAATTGAAGTTTACTTTCTGGGGTTGTTTCGGTTGTGGTATGAGGTTAGGGTTTCCAGTGTGAAATTGGCTGTCTACCTGTTGAGTCTGCGAGATATTTTCGAGTAGCTGATAGAGCGTCCATTTTTACGTTCATTCTGCATGTGATTTCCTCCTCGTCACTGTTCTCCCCCACTTTCTCGTCTGCTGGTCGTGTTATTCATGGTCACAAGTCCTGGGAGTGTACTTTTTTTGTGTGCATGCATGCTTGTTCTTTCCAGAAACGCGTCGTTTTGTGTCAGGATCGAAAATGTTCGAATGAGTGTGTTCCTAGTTATGCATGAGACATGGATTGCCTTTCGTCTGACTTCGGTCGCATCCAATGCAGTCCTGTGTGAGTTTCAGCGGTCTCCGTGCATCCGCCAGCCAGAGATTCTCCATCGTTGACTCCCGCGCCGTAGCTGTTACTCGCCTCCGACGCATCTCATGTGCGGTAAGTTGTCACCCGTGGCGACCAGTAGCACGTCGAAAGTTCAAAATGCGTCACAGTATGAATGAGTTGTTTCTCTCATTAGCTTACCGAACCGGCTTACGGCCAATTATCTGAAATATGACCCGAAGGTGTTGTCTCATTTTCCATAGGCTGAAGGAGCCGAGGAAGCCGTAGCTGCTCCCGCCGCCACTGATGCACCTGCTGAAAACGTCGCAGAGATCGTGAGGAAAGTCATTGCCCACCAATTGGCGTCACCTCTTGAGAAAGTCTTGCCCAACTCAAAATTCGCTGATCTTGGTGCCGATTCTCTTGACACCGTGAGTTCTTCTTTAAAGCCCACCTGTCCATCTTAAACGCTCAACTCGAAAACCTTCTCTCACATTTTGATAGCATGACACTTCTCCTGACCTGGTCGGCTTGTCTCTACACAGGTCGAAATTATGATGGCCTTGGAAGAAAGATTTGACATTACTATTGACGAGGATGGTGCTGAGAAGATTTCTACAGTCCAGGAGGCTGCTGACTTGATCGAAGCTGAAATCAAGGCCAGGGCTTAAATAGTTAGATGTTCAAATTCAAATCAGTGGGATATATTTGATCTCCCGGGCTGCGGATACTAGTATGAGGCAAGTTACCTGGGCGACGATCACATTTTTTGCAGCATTCTCATCAGTGAGGGCTACAACCGGGAGTTTCTCCTCTAGCTGTAGTGTATAGTAGACGGATGCTTCTCAAGGTCTGTTGTATCTTGTTCCCGAATACTGCTCCCAAGCCTTCCGGAAGCAAAGTTCTGGTTCGTTCTTAAATTTGTAATGTGGCTATGTTACCAACCATTCAACTCGAAAACACTGAGATAACTAAATCTTGCCAGTTCCAGTCTCGATTGTAGCCAAGATTGTGATTACTTGATGAGGTGGATGTATATTGTAAACCTGCTCACATTCACACCTTCGTGTGATGTCAGTAGTAATGTGCGCATACAAACGTGGAAGAAGTCTTCGTTCTCGCACGAAGGGCAGGAGACCACGTGTAGACATCTAAGAAATTTAAGAGAAAGAGATTCAGTGATTCGAGTAGACGAGAGTGTGGACTTTAGTTGCGCGTCGCGTTTTTGACTAACTTTCGGGTGATTATGAATGAAAGGTTTGCCAATGCAATGTTCTGTTTATCTGTGTATGTACTGTACTGGACAACTCCGGGCAACACGCAACTGGTGATGCCGATCTGACAGTATGATAGGGTAGAATACAGCTGCCAACCTTGTAATAAATCTGATGTCAGGGTATATCAGGTGATACTTCAACTGCCTCTTTCACCTCCATTTCACAAATCTGTGCACGCTACGTCCTATCATCATTGCTGCAAGCTCTGACATTGTAGCGGTCACAGTGCCTGATGGCAGGGGGTCTATTTTCCCATTGGCTCATCCAGCTTGTACGTAGTAGGAAGTATCCAAGTCTCTGTCGAAGATAAGGCAACGGAGCAAATCGAGCGACCTCTTCTTCCATCTAGTGGAGAGTGTTAGCTTCCAACCAGAAGGTGGAAGCCAGTTCATCAGAGTAACCCTCCTAGAAATCTGCCTACCTAGAAAGGGACTTGGGGAAATGTAATGATACTTTACCGAACGCAGGAAATTACGTAGAAGCTTTCACTATCCAGTAAAGACGAGGAAATGCAGACAGACGTAAAGAATAATTCACTTACTTCCGAGTCTGGACTGCGGATAATTCCATCTAGGACCTCGCGAAGGAGAAGATGAACAATTGCAAACCTCTGCAAGCCTGTATTGTGAAACCGCAACCATATCAGATAGAGGGTACAACTCCCGGAGGGAATATGGGACGACCACTGTTCAGGCCCTTTTCACCCTCATCCGTGACACTTGCCTTGTCCTTTCGAATCAGGAGAACTGAACATATCTCTATTGTAACTCAATCTGACTAAAATGAATGCACGAAAGAGAGAAATAGGTGGAATTCAATTTTGGACCCATCGAGCTCAGTATAAAGGTTCCAAGTCTGGAACTGGCAACAGCTGCTGAAAAGGTCGTCATTCGTGTAGGACATATACTCGGGAATGGTGTAGAATGATTTCTTCCACTTTATCCTCTTGAGTACAATCTATCGGACGCTGCTTTACTAGTATGATTACAGTTTCATAAGTTTGTTCATCTTTTTCATTCGTTGACTTTTCTCTTCGTTTTACTTCATTCTCCTCATTCTTATGTGTCCATGTGTCTTTCTTTGAACTCCAAAAGAGTTCGACTTGGCGCGACGAACCCATAGTTTAGTATAATAGGCTGACGTTAAAAGACCTCTTAATACATATCACATTTGTGTTTATTATCACCTTTTTGATTTTTGGTTTGAGAAAATCTAATTCTTCTGTGATTTGACCATACGAGTATAAGGTAAACCTCTTGACAAGATGACGACAGATTTTCAAACATTTCTATCTATCAAGGAGGTAATTTTCGCACAGGATGTGTATCATTAAGATGAATCTGCGAAATTTCCAGTTTAAGGTTCGAACAAATCTAACCATCTAAACAAAATATCATCTTCGTGATGTTGAGGAGCGCTTGAATCAAGATGTATGTCAACATGCAGAACTGCGATATCCTTTTGGTCCGTTAGTAGAAGTCAAGATATCTTGAAGGCAATGCAAAAGCTAATTTGTCTTCTCTACGTATGTGGCATCGTTATTACTTTCACATTCAATTATTAGTTCTCTGGTGTGAGTTCCACAAAAGAGAAAACATGATAATGTTCGCAACATATGTGGACAATATAAAGATATGTAGATATCTTTATATTGTTTTAAATTCATTGTATAAGATATCATGTTTTGAACGGATCTTCTTATGATTTTATGTGATATTTTTCATCCATGCAGATCGCAAATATCTAACACATGCAGGTTTACATATATAAAATATCAAGAGCATTCAGATATCTTTATGTGCTAGATACTCATGCAAGCTGATATCGTAGACTTAGAACCAATTTTCATTCCTAAAAAATTACGACCTACATGATAATCAAGTCATAGTTTAGTGCGAGCATTTTTTTTGTTATTAAGACAGGCTAGTCAAATATGTCATTGTTTTGGATAGATGAACAAATCTTACTCAAAAGCTTTACAGATTTTTCATATTCTCATCGCAAATAAATATTAAATCAATCAGAAGTTTATTTATGATTGATGAACTACAGTACTTGAAAATTTCCCTCTTGATTTATCCATCGATACAATTCTCATTTATTTTACTTTTGAAAGAGTGCATGAAGTAATACATACATAGCAACAATCGTACGTAAGATTTTTTGAAAAGACATAAACATCAATCTATGTTTGATCCATCTATCTTGACAATGCAGAGAATATTTTTTCAAAATGGAGAACTCTATGTTTAGATCTAAACATTTAATGACTTTTCATCACATTCTTGCATTCACTCTACAAAATGAAGATTATTTGATTTACATCAGGGCATTAAAAATTTGACATAATTTGTAACTGAAGAGATATCATTCTATCTAATATTTTAGTATATTTGACTGTAAATTAAAACTTTAAGTTATCTATTATTCTTTAGCTAATTGGTATTATTTCTTACTGTACGAAGTTTACATTTGTAAAGACCAAACATATCCTCTCTTGGATGAAAATATAAAGTTTTATTTTATCCATAAATGTGCCGACGATATAGACCGATTTCGATGTAGAAATGTTTTCCATCTTATATGGTAATGTGGAATATACTAACGTGATCTACTCCGATTCAGCATGTACACTACGTACGAGACAAGTATACCCGGATTCGAAATAAAAAACTACGGTGGGTGTAAAATTGTAGGAGTTGAAGTGGAGTGTTTGAGAGGTATTCTTTCAGACGTTGCCTTAACTTAGCAAAGAACAATGCTCAACATCTGGAGCGCTAGGTTTACAGTACTTCAGCATAATACTGAAAATGCTCGTTTTATTGTTCACAGATGAACAAGGGCAAGACTTGGCTCAGAATCTGAGGTCTTAGAAACTCAAGTTCACTAAAATACCCATCAATGTGCGCTCAAGTTGCAGAAATGTTTCTGGCGGGCATGAACTTCGCTGGCGTGCACGCTGGCTCTCTACCTTGCATTGAAGAAAACCGTTTGCCGCGGTTGTAATTCCAACCTTTTCTTATCTACTTGGTGATAATCGGGTCAGGGTGTTTCAGATGTTCCATTGGCTCTCAACGTGACGAAATTGCGGATTAATGTAAGTGAAGATTCACGACATGTACAATAAGCTCTTCTCCACCTTGTGAAGACGAGATTATTCCGGATGATATAGATTGGGAATTCGGAGCTGTGTTCGAAACCCGCTCCTGATGCTATTGGATGAGAAAAAAATATGAATTATTTTATACATCTCAGTAGTTCAGTTATATTCGACAAGAATTTGTTGTCGAATATAATTGAAAATAATGTTTCAGCTGCTTTTCCCAGAGCCAATATAATTCAGATTATATTCTGCAAGTGACTCAGTTTGACATGTAGAAATATACGCTCATTACATCTACATGTTCATGCTAGACACTGCATCTGATCAGGTATTGCAGACAGTGGCATACAGCTTTGAAACGGCATCTAGTTCTCAAACGATACACCGATTTGCTCGAATGCACATTGTTTTCATAAAAGTCGTCTTCCAAGTACAGCTCACTTCGCTTAACAAAATGTGAAGCATCACTTCGCAGCAGTGATGGTTTCAGTTCAACTAATATTCTGAAACCAATCTCATAATTACATACAACCAGCTGCAGGAAATGAGTCATACCTTCGGTAATTGGAAAGGTCCCGTGGCCTTGGGTCCCGATCGACGTTAGAGTTTCCTTACGCATTTCCTGTTCTCACTGCTGCTGTGCAGTATCCTGGGTAACACTACTACCAGCTTCACAATCAGGTTCGTACCCTTTGTGACTACATTACTACCTCAATAAAAAATGATCCACGGGGGTGTGAACGTCCCACTCGCAAGGTCCCTGGACTTAAATATACTTCAGAAGCACTACACGATTAGGATCTGAAACAGTGGTCTGTGAATGATGATGGACACAGGCCTTGGCAAGACAGCCGATGTGTTGAGAACACATTTCTGGCATGTATGGGTCCACCTACAGTGGAAACTAAGTATGAAAGAATAATAAATAGTGTAAGAAAGTTAAGGCAATTCCTAGCAGCTCTTAACATGAACCTAACCCTAGCTTGCAATCCTTCGTAAGATCATTGAAGGTTTCGATCCGCTTTTTGGCTTTGTACAGTACTTCAGAATCGACTTCAACCCTCATGTAACCATCAAATTCCACAGGCACGCCACCGTTGAGTTCTTTCGTCTCTTTGTACCATTCGCTAGTCTCACTCCAGAGTTCCTTGAAATCGTCTAGGGTGTATACCTTCCACTTTCCTCTCAACTTGTCAAAATAATGTTCATCACGCTCATTGGTAGCAATGTACAAATTCCGGCCCTGTATGACAATGTCGTCGAGCTTTCTTGCTATAGCTTCCGCAGAAGTATCGGCGTCGAGATTGGGCCACAGAGCTTTATTTTCGACTCTTTCCCCTCTCACCACATGCACCACATCGTAATCCCATCCCATCTTTCCGCAGATGGCCAGCACAATATCGTCTATGCGCCTCGACTTCCAGACCAATTCCCAAGGTCGTTGTATCACTTTCTCTGCCTCTCCTTCGCAAACTCGAAACCAATAATTATTGGGTTCAGGTTCTCTGAAGGTCCTCTTTATCACATTACTTCGTTCGTTCTTCAATTCCATAGGAGTCGTTCTGTAGTCTATTTCACGGACCTGTAATCGGTGCTTACCATGTTTGCTATCCCAGGAACGCCAATCCTTCAGAAACTGAGCTTCGTCGATCACTGAAAGCTTTTGCCTCAGATGCTCCAAATCGTAATAAAACCGGAAATCCTTGTGAGGCTCGTCTTTGGCAGAATGGTCCTTACCGATATAGTTATTTGAAGCTGAAAGACAGATGTCCAGGTCCAGAACAAAGGTTCGATTCAAGTAGCGAGCTTCTCCCATGGCGCACAGGAGACTCCACATGTATTGGCTCATAGGTTTGCAATAATCACCTCCGCGTTCGTAGTACAAATATTTAACTGAGTGGAAAGCATTCTCAGTCATGTTAAGTAGCCCGTCGTTTACGGTGTCCACGCCCACTTCCACACCCAATGTGCTGTTATCTGATCGATGTCTCTTCATAGGCCGCGCATTGAGTCCGGAGTGCCAGTCTCCCATCTTTTTCACATGGTAATCGCAAGTGTCTTTGACGGCAAGAACATACCTACGAAAGTCACGATACATCCGAGGAGAACCATCCTTGCTGGATCGATACTTCCATGCCACATCGCATTCGTTGTCTGCAGATCCTCGCACAGGAAACCTGTAGTTGTAGAAATCCAGAGATCTAAACGTCTGCAGATTGTACTTCTCAATTGCAAAGAGAACCCCTGGATCTGAACAATTGATCGGACCGAGCAATTCGCAGTCGCCGTGCTTCTGAGCAAATGATACTTCGGCATCCACCTGAGAGCTATTGATAGCTGGAGGAAGACCATTAGCAAGAGGTATCGTATCCTCTCCAGTGGTGATCACAGTCTCGTCCGCTTTGAACGTAGCATTTCGACTAACCGTCATGAGCTGTGTCATTGACTTTGAAGACTGAAGCCATGGATCACCTGGTTGGTATGTGACCGCTATAACTGTGAAGGTGAGAACAGTGAGCACAAAGAATCCGAAGCAAACATTGCTGGCCACTTTCACAGCGTGCTGTCCATAAGTTTCCGGATTGAAAAAATCAGCGTACGTGTACGTCTGCAGCTGCTTTGACTGCGCTTGTGTCGGACTGTCCGAATCCATTGCGACCTGCAGCAAAGTTACCCAGAAGATGTTTATCAGAAAAGCTGTAGAGTTTCATCTCATGTCTCGTGCAGGAGTTGCTCGCGCACTGTAACACCGCGACAGACCATATCCAGATCTCCCCCCACGTCACTGAACCAGCAGCCACTACCGCCCACACGAAATCATTATAGAAACATTTAAACTAGCAATCTGCACTACACGCACGCATGGGGTCGAAGACAGACCCAAGACCCCAAGAACCCAAGACCGCAGATAGCAGCGAGGTAAACCCAGCTGAAGATAGATACATGTAAAGATTAGCACCTGCACCACCGAACAGGAAACAGTGATGCGGTGGAAAATCTAATTCCGGGATTGCACAGTTCAAGAAAGCGTGACGCGAATCCTCGACAAAAGTAGAGCTCGCGTTTATGAAAATCATCTCTGACGCACTCTCAAGAGTTTCTTGAAATGAAGTAGGTAGGCTGTCTGTCGGGGTAGATAGCAACAACAAGCTCACTGACATCACCACGAAGTTAACTCCGACAGGCTGGCAAGATTACACTGGAAGCTGGACGACATTATTACTTTAACGAAAAAGGTGGCCAATTCAAGACCGGCTATCTCGTCGCGAAGAACTGAGCAGACCACAGTTGTTCAATCCAGCAACCAAGAAGGACACAGAAGCATATGCCATGTCCAGCTGATGTGAGCCTAACAGAGGATTCTGCAAATTACAACTGGCGACCTTTCACACACGCTGAAAGCTGAGCTGATCACAAAAAGTCCAAAGAACACCAAGAAATCAATCTGCGAAGACATCCTCGAACGGAACAGCAAGAAGAACACGAGGACGCGAACACTGACGACGAGCACGAAAATCTTGCAGTGTGGAACTGAAAAATCTTCAGCAGGCCCAAGAACGCCTCAAAGAAAACGTAGAAAGACCTGGACGCCCCCGCTCCGTCACTGCACAGAGAACAGGCAACGAAGAACCACGTCCACCTCCGACGCACGGAAAAATCCAGAACGCCTCGACTAGAGCACACACTCACGGCTCGCAAAGATTGCTCCGAACCACGTCAATAGGCAAGCGACGATGAAATAACAAAGAATGCAAACCTGTTGTCTAGCTCGACCCCAGGCAAGGCAGCAGCAGCAGCAGCGGGCGATCAAGAGCTGCTGCGCTCGACAGCAGACACCATGAAGCAGCAATTACTCGTGACAGAGATCACACCAGCAGGTTGACACGACCAATTCTCCGAAGACGCAGCGCGGAGTCAAATCCGGGTCGAGCCTGCGCACCAAATCATTCCCCAGAGGAGGGAGGGAAACGAAAGGAAAGGCTCGTCCGTCTGCACCTCTCTCTCTCTCTCTCTCTCTCTCTCTCTCTCTCTCTCTGTGCCTACGGGAAAGAACAGACGAAGCTGTCATTACGCCACTGGCCTGCGACAAAGCGGGAACCGGTGGAAAGGCCCCGTCACTTCTCGAGAGCCGAGACAGCACCGCCACGTCACCCTGTCGCCCGTCGCCCTCCCTCGGTGCTCGGTAATCTCTCGCTAAGCCCTCGCTAATCGCTCTCTAATCGTTCTTTGATCGCGATTTGATCGCGCTCTAACCGGACGTTACTCGTCTTCTTCGTCGATATAAGAGTGGACGGGTTCCAGAGACCGTACTACTGCGCTCTAGAGCCGGGACATGTCTTTGTCGAGGACTGTGCTGGACACGATTTGCTTTGTCTTCACCTTCTGGCCTGGCATGGGGATCGGCGGCCCCTCTCGTCAGACATTAATGTGCCTCTGTGATGTTTGATGGAATTCGATCTTTTGCATTCCGAGTGCAAAAGCCTTTGAAAAAATTAAGATTGTTTTATTCGTGGACTGTGTCTTCCGATAAATATAATATATGGTTGATTATTATTATTTTAAAATAACTTTTGGAATATTTTTTGGGTTTAGAATGCCAACATTCGAAAGAGATTGGAAATTCTCAATTTTCGAGGACACTGTGGAAAATGAATCTGGATAATTTAGATTGGCTGAAAGGGGAAATTGTCTTGTTTCCCTCATTTCTTCTCTGCATTTGTTTTCTATTATATATTTATATCCGTATCTTTTCCTATCTTCTAGCTTAGCACGGCTGAATGGCATACAAACACTAGCGAAGGGTTCTTCCGTTTGTTCCAAGTCATCATAAGCATGGAGCCTTATAGTCACACATTACTAGCTACGTCATGACTGCGAACTCATAAGTAGGACATAGCTCTTTTTCTTCAATAACTTGGTTTTAGTGCATCACCTTCTCAACATATGCTTCAATGTTTCCATGTCAAGTCATCCTCCAGGCATTTTAAGAGAATAATATACTCCTTTCTGAGAGAGCGTATCCCCGAGCCTTTCAGCAAGTATGCAAATAAACATGAAATACATTTCGCTTTTGCCAACCTTTCATATGTTTTACTTTTCAATCTTAGCCTACAACGTAAGACATTGTTGTCCAAGAGATAACGCGAGACGTAAGAGAATGCATCAGTATCCCGCCTTAAAAACTTTGTCAGCAACAAGATTTCCTATCCCGGTTTCTATGTGGGAATTAAGCATGATACAAGAACTTGCACAAACAACGATTTTTTTCATAGTAAAAAACGTATATAAGATCTTTTGTTGTCTTGGCTTGTACTAAATTTAATATAAATATTTATGAAACTACGTTCTATGCTCATTATCTCAAAGTTCAATTTCCATAATTTTATGCCTACCTATTGAGCCTAAAATACTTGTATGCAAAAAAGTTCAAAGATATCAACTAAGCAATTGGTTTGAAATTAGTAAGAGAGAGCAATGTAGCGAAGTGAAATGGACGGGTTAGGACTTGATAAAGTTCCAAAGCAGCCTGGTGATCTCCCCAAAGATGGATATTACTCGTTTGGTGTGGTCCTTGTAGCGCTTCATTGGGATATTCAGTCTTTATTTAATTGCGTCCACAAAATTTTACGTGGACGAATGAGGTTAATAATGTACTCTTCTGGCGTTTCTCGAAGGAGTTGAATGAGCTTGTAATAAGTGCAGTAGCTGTACACCAAGCCTGTGTCAGCAGCTGTGAACATGTCCACGTCCTCATTTGCTTTGCTTTCTCCGCATCATAGATCTATTTGATCTACTGTATTTAGCTGTTGATGATTGTAACGCATGTATCGTGTGACTGTCATGACAAATGAAGGGACATCGGTCGATTGAAGGATGTGTAGTCGAGCTCCAACAAGTAAGAACGACGAAGTAAGCTTCAACTCTTTGGTCAACATTGTTTAGCACAGTTGGTGTACTGGAGCTGAACAATGTTGACCAAAGGGTTGACAATTTCTTGAGAATGCTCCATAGTACCCCCGGGATTTTTCTTCTCAAGTCTTCCATCCTTGCTGGAGCTCGTGTAACACACTCCGAGTACGATGTTCCATACCGTACTATTCTGGCAGTAAGTTGTGGGATTCAACATTCGGCAGAGAATTGAAGCTCAAGTTTTGTGACACTAATTTTCTATATAGTGGAGTCACTGTATATGTCTTAGATCAAATTAACTTCCCCAATAAACTCTAAGATATCTCTTCTCTCAAGAAAGAGTTGAAGACATTAATGTATGACGAGATAAAACTTATTTTAGCTTCATCTCGTCATTTATTAAAATGCCTGAAATGATTTATGGTTATTGTAATTAACTCTTGATTTGTGTTACCATTAAACTCATCAACGAACCGTTCAAGAGAAGTCACACTGCGCAATGCCGGTAGGTAGAAAATCAGAAGTCAAAGGCCCCGTAGACTAATCTACTTTCCCTTTTCCTGTCACTGATCCGATGGAGATAGTGCCTTGAAAATTCCATGCATTCCCCATAAGAAAAGGGGTGACGTAATGTACATGAGAATAATTGAGCCATGGATTCGGCTCATATTTTCAACGTAGTGTTGCTCATGAAAAGTGGGACCCATCTATGCTTTCTCTCGCCGGATTCTTCCAATCCAGGACACAAGAAAAGCTCTGGCTCTTATACACATGGAAACTAGGGATAGGAACATCGCCCCGAGGATAAAAATCATTCATGCCTGTTTCCAAGGATTGGATCATTGGTCATTATCACTCTAACATTTGGCGACATGAAGGGGACTAAGAAAGAAGGGAGTTGCATCTGAACATACTCAGAGATTGAGCCTCTTGTAGATGTCACTGGAGAAACACCAACGTCATCCGAGTATATCGGGTGGGGAATCTCACGTCATATCCTCGAAAGCTTTAGCTATAGCTGGTCACAAATTGACAGCACATCACAACTTTGTTCGCCCTCAATCATCAAAATCTAAATAATAATTTCAAAAATCTCTCATATGCCAAGAGACACTCTCGACTATAGAAACGAAGTCAACATTCGTCAACATCCATCAAATTTGTAGTACGAGCTCTTTCATAATTGAGATAGATACCTTGTGAGTGTGACTGTAGATCTCGAAAATAATGTTACCCTAACAAGTCAGAATCTTCCTTGTCAAACCCAAAGAGCTATGACTCTTTTATACTCAGAAAGTAGATGCAACCAAAAAGTAAGAGTACTGAGCAATGAGCAATGGTTATTTGAGTCCATTGAAACTGCACATTCGGAAACCCTCAGCGAAAATAAGAATGTAAACACATATACAAGTTGTTTCCACCATTGCCTTGTATTTGTATCGGGATCATAAAGGGAGCGGGTAGTTATCCCTCAGGTTGGGTTAATTATTCTTCATCCCAGACTAATGTACATTTCTCCTATGAAATCATCGTGCGACCATAGCATCATGTAGTATATGAACCCTCTTGCTCTTTAGGTAACCGGTGAAATCAGCACGTAAAGAAATCATTAACACTAATCACATCTTTAACCCACGTTAAATATCAAGAAAAAGAAGAAGAAGGTATTGTTTTATCTTTTTTATTGTATTATTTTTTAGACATCAACATGGTAAATCAAAACGAGCACTACTGCGTTAATCAACCACAGTACCACGTCCGCAGCGAAGTAAAGTTGAAACCCCGTACCATGCCTCAGTAAGGAGATGTCCGCCAAAGTAGCTCCACCGTGAAAACCTCCCAACCACAGTGACGCCAGGTAACTCTAGGTCTTTTCCTCCACATCATCAACGACCGACTGCCGCCGTCAAATGCAGCCCCGGCTTCTCTCTAAATCCGGACCCGACGCCGCCAAAAGTGGCGGGCATCTAGTTCTGTTGCTACAATCTGTCCCTCGGCGAAAAGGCCCTGCGCCATAATGACCGTTCCGGCGGCTTTTGTCTCGACGTGGTCGTTGCCATCATCTCGTTCGGTTCGCGCGAACGGTCGAGGCAAGAAGTGCATCTCCTTCACGTTTCTTGCGTCGTGTGCCTCGACAGGAGACAGATTGATTGAGATGTGGCCTCTCTGACAGGTCTGCGATCTGTAGTTTCTTGTTCTTGTGGCGCCTCTTTTCTCCGTTTGAATAGAAAAATTCTCCGGAAGAAAAGACCGTGGGTTTTAATTCAATGTTCTGTTACTTGTTCGGTAAAGCTATCGGCCGGTGATTTCTCCGAGAAATACATTCTATCCTAAAACTGACTTTTGAACTTCATTGTGCTACGCTTGACGGGACATGAACCTTCAGAAATCTGTAATATGATAGTTTTTGTGGCCCGTAATCGTCACTTCATACATGCTCTCCGGCGCCGCATCATGCATTTTTGCGGTTCCGGAGGAAAATTGTGTCCTCTCTAAAACTATCGACAAGAGTTCGGGAACGTAAGCGAATTCTTAGGACATTCCACGCGCGGTTTCTTTCGCCTGAGACATCGACGAGCACACGAACAATTGCCTTTTGAAGCTCGCATCTCATAGGGCCTGTGATCTGATCAGCGAGACGTGTTCCAGATAGCTACCTCGACTCATTAGGGCATGTTTCCAACAAAGTCCAACAAAGTCCAACAAAGTCATCGGAAGTAGAGTCTCGTTCTAAACGAATGCCTGACGTTGCCAGAGAGGGCATATCTCTAACCTATAAATTCGACCCTTATCGAGGAAACTTGCCAAGAAACCAGGTAACCACGAGTTAGACGATCACATCGATGGAGGCGTCTTCCTTCGTCGTGCAGACAGTGAAGTCTTGTATCATTCGTTGGGAAAGAGAATGACATGAAGTCTCGGAAGCCACGAATGTCCTTGTGATCATGCTGTCTGTGAAGATTACTTGCATGCAGTGGAAGGAGAAGGTAAAAGAACGAGGCCATTTATTGTGTTGACCAGGCTGGACAGACTGAACGCTCAGGGCTCTCTCAGTCATTCATTCAAACCTTCACGTATTTCTACCTACTACTCCTGTACATGTTGTCCCCTCGTCACTTCAGTCTTCCATCATTTGGACGATGTAATAATGGCCATTCTCTGCTGATAATGACTCTGATGACGACTTGAGCATTTTTTATAAAGCATGTCTCAGTCGTGGCATTATTTACTCTTCCTTACGAGACGTACCCAATTATCTCCCTCGTACCCCACGTCATGGAATTGTTACTTTGTCCGCTAGAGTCTTCGTCATTTATCGAAGGTTCACTGATAAAGTCCAATGTCCATTGAGCGTCTCCAGTATTTCATGGGGATTTGCCTCGTCTTCTCTACACTCCTCCTCTGGACAAGGTTCAATTATCGTTTTCAGGTCGATGCCATCCGACACCTGGGAGGGGTACGAGGTAGCAAACCCTCAAACTCAGGGGATGACAGAGATCTCTCTGAGCTCGTTGGGGACACGAGGGAGTAAATCTCTGTTTTGCCCCGGCCCTCGAGTTTGAGGTCGTTCTAATGAAATTCCTGTTACATCATGCAGCGCTAGATCACTTGTGGAGGAACATTACAGCGTCTCACTAGTGTAGCTCCAACTTCACAAGACCACGGCCACAGCCCTGACATGCGTGACGTCTAGCGCGTGAATGGTCGTGAACCAGGTCAAATCTTGTTCCAACGATCTCTGTGCGCAGGTGATACGCAACCCAGGAGCCCGTATCGCCCACACATCCGTAACGCCTTGGGGACAGATTGCTGCACAATATTTTGTCACTTCAGATAGTCCTTGTGTCAGTGTCAGATTGCACATTAGAATTCCAGTACTCGATCGTCTCGTCATATATGAATGGGCACAGTGAATGCGTTCTATGAGAATACTGTATTTATAAGCTGGAAATTCAAGCAAGCACAGTCGTTGACCATCGTCATTAAGCTGAAAGTGCGGAATTGTAGCAATATGTGGCGTCGACAATCGGTGAGAGCGGTTCTAGATATCCGAAAAGTTCTGAGAACTTACAGGCTACGAGCATCCGAAGATTGTAGGGAGGAATTGTGTAGGACTACAGTGCGCACGTCAATGTGAGAGGGGGCTCGGGAATGTCCAGTGACAGCGTGGTTTTGAGGGAACTGAAGAGATTTCAGGCTTGGCAACACTTTCTCTCAAGAATGTTACCGCAATACGACATTGTCATGCAAAATATCAATGGGGATCTCATAAACTTCTGTTAAAGGCTTCAACTTGGGTGTATCGAAGCGGCAAACTCCAGCACCAATGTAGAGTACTCTGAACTAGAAAAGATTTCGAATTCTGGTATACAATCGCGTTCACAAGATGAGGCTCATTCTGTCCAATATTGAAGCCGGGCTAGCCCACGAACCAGCTCGGCGCCAGAATGAGATGATATCAGGACCTTGAACAACGGCAGCAACGCGGGTAACCATGAGAATAAGTCAGATAAGCTGGTAACACGTTTCACACCTAGGAGATAGAGACGGCAAATGTGGAGATATTTGCCGATTATTGCAGGGCAGGATAACCATTACTTTCCGTTAGCTGGTCCAACGAGCACGCCATGCTGCACTCCTGAGTACAAAAGCAGCTTAGTACGAACGACCCAATACTCTGGTCAGGATTCTCGACAACTACCTGCATCTGTGAAATTGCTTTTGATAGCGTCAACCCGCCGTTCAAGTGAAGCATATGATTCAAGGCTCAGTGAATGTGTTCCTCGATGAAAATTGGATTGGAACTTCAGCGAAGTGAATGAGCAGGTCCTTGATGTTACTTTCTATTGGATGGATTTGTGAGCCGCATTCGATGGGAAACGGGTGGAAACCTGACTGCAGTGCAGAAGCATCACTCAAAAAGACGATGGACAGCTTCTGACTGTGGCATTTCAAGAATAGAGATTAGTGATCGTAGATTGATTTAGCGAACATCGTTGTCATGGCCTCTTCAGAAGGAGATACGAGTTTAAGTTTCAGCGAGGAGGACACAGGAGATTCACCAAAGCATCCAACTCCTGTACAGCGGTCTGGAGAGGCTGATTCCGAAAAGTCAACAATGGAAAAAGGTGGTAGCCCCCACGCACAAGAAACGTCCTCCGATGCCGTTTCGTTGGCAGACGAGTTCTTAGGCCAATCCGATTTTGCAGAATTTTTAAGAGAAAGTGGTTCTCCACCTCGAAGTCATGCTGGAGACCAAAGTGAAGACAGTCTTCCAGGATACCTTCGGGGGAGTGGTTCTCCAGCTGGAAGCGATCCAAGAGAACGGGTGAAAGCTATTGCTACCATGTCAGGTGCTAAATTGGAGCAAATTGAGGTTTCTTCGGTAGGGGATGGGGACAGTTCTCTGCAAGACGCTTATTATCAACATCCTGAGGAGTCACTGGATAGAATCGCAGGCGAAGACGACTTTGCAAGGTTCTTGAGGACAGGCATTGGAGAACAGACTGAGAGCGACTTTTCAATATTTTTGAAACAAGGAGGAGGTTACAATCTTGGTCCTTCCGAATCTGCTTCTCTTGAAGCCGAGTCCGAACAGTATCCTTCTAGAGATGAAGGTCTGCAGTCAACACGACAAGAAGTGTATCGGGAGTCACCTGACGACTACGATTGGAGTGGTAATGCAGTATGTCATCTTTACGTCTCCCGATTCTGACTCCCAATTCTGGTCTTCCCATCCTTATCCTTCCCACCATTTTACTTTCTACTTCCACTGTATATTTCTGGCGTGCCTAAAGCTTTGAATACACGCGGTTCCAACCAATCTTCTGTCAATACAGATTGAGTGTTCTCGTTGTCTTCCATCCTCACTAGAAGTCACATGTCTCATATCTTAAACAAGTCGTTAAATGCACCTCAAGCTTGACAGCTTGAGCATACTTACACTGATGTTATTTGATATGGATGGAAGCAGGAAGCCAAGGATGACGAATCTGAGAAAAGCGATGAGAAGGAAAAGGCCGTCAAGGAGCTCTTACTTCTCAAAGCCATCAACTCAAAATACTTACCAGCTTTTGCCAATGAAGAAAACATCATACTCCATGACACGGTTCTTGAAGCTGAAATTGCTCTCAAGAGAGCAGAGGTACTCGACCATCTTACTCGACCATCATCATGCTTAGTCTTTCAGGATGTGGTCAAACATTAGTCCACTATGAACTTTAGCCCTGGTCATGAAACCTCCCAGAGAAGAAAATCATGATATCCTTCCGTTGTTACTGTACTCAATGGTGGAAACCCTTGGAGGGAGTAAAATAAGGGCATGGATAGTCACTCGTGTGAGTGTGCTTCTAAACCAATCATGGAGTCGACCAGGATGATTGAGAGCTGTTCATGTCAAGTGTTTTCTTGGCTCCACGAGAGACCGGGGTTATGAACTCAAAACACCACGTTTGCCTTTTCCTAATTATGATCTAACTAACAGAAGGGAACCAGGAAGCCGTGGAAGAGCAAGATGACAGGGCAGCTATCATGGAAGAACATATGAAGCGAGTCCAACAAGAAATTGTTTTCTCACAATCAAGACATGAAGCAAAGAGAAGGGAAATTGCCACGGAAGAGCATCTCTTCAAAATGTCAAGTTTCGAGACAGGTCGTCTGAAGGTCAGTTTCCACCTTCTGCAGAAATTGAAGTTATCATAATATATATATTCACTAGCTCCTCTTATTCGCCACCATGTGCTTTCTTAACTCACTTCACCGTTGCATTTTCCATCTCAAGGTGGGACTGCAAAACAATTCTTACGTTTATTTCCAAAATGTCTGAATCATGAAATACTCACTTGCTTGTTGGACCTTCTCTATTACTTGTATTGGAATTTTTTCCACAAAGAACCACTGCGCTGTAAAGGTAAATAATTTGAAGCATCGCTTGTTATAGCTATTGATATATTCAGTGAAAGATAATATTTAACAAAACGATCATACTTAATTCAATGGCCATAGATGCAAAATGAAAAGGCGTAGCAAACATATTTTTTACATTGAATCGTGTAAAGAGGCCCATGGGATTATCCAGTGTGTAATTTTTGGAGTTCTATATCATCGTACATAATGTATCCATGTATGTATGCTTAACCATTATCCTTGTGCAAGCTGGATAAGCGTATCCACGAAATGACTATGCAATCAATTGGGAGTAAGGAACTAACGACTTTGCTTTGTCAATAATAGATCGAATCTATCTGTAGTGTAATTTTCGTTTACTGTTGAGCTAGGCATATGGCTGGAATAGCATATGAGAAAACTTGTGGATGTTTGATCACACTTAGGACATTTCTTGAGCTAAGATCGTATTATTCCATCTCAAAGAAATAAACTTTACCTTTATGAATAACTGACAAGAAAAAACAAGGTGAACATAATCTTCTTGGGATCTACTGTTCAACTTACGATATTATCTCATCTAATCAAATCAAGTCTCTCCAGAGACAAACTTTTGATAAAAGATGATGATAGTGCTCAACTGTACGAAAATAAGAGTGCTGTATGTATATATTCTAGTTTATAAGTAGATGCAAACCCAAAAAGAATCTGGTAACAAAAAATTGAAACTCGACGCTCAGAACTTCTACGATTAGAAACTAGAATGCCATCACATCTACTCTGCTTGTAGTCCTTATATAAAGATCTTCTAACCTGTGCCAATTACCTAACACACTATTGAAAGGCACAATTGCCTCATTTCCCTTCCACGACTTTGTTTTCGCCCTTGACATCCTTTTATAGCTTTGATCAATTTCTTGTAAAGAAGATCCAGGTTTACTGTACTGATGCGTGTCTTAACGGCTGAAGGCAGAAATGGTCAAGATGGCGAAAGAAGCAGAAGAAATCGCAAATCGACTTCGCCAGTTTCGAACCTCAATATTCCAAGCTAATGAAAAGATGGACCAGTTTCGACTGCTCATGCACTGGAACCAGGTGCATGGACTTCTCAAAATTGCCCGTTCGACAAAGCTTTCATTCTCTTACGACCTTTCACTATTCCAATAACTTTAACTCGAGAGAATATCGTGTACTAAGAGAATATATTGTATTGTGAGACTTTCCGGAAAAAATACCATGATATACGTTGTGCTTAGTGAATTTTGATTTAGGAGAATTGGAATGTTTCAGATTGCTAATGTGTCCATGTCTTGGTCACAACTTGAGCTTGTTCATAAATTTGAAAAAGGGTTGTGTTAATCAGCGTACCTTCGATTTAAGGAAATGCCAACTAAATAATCAACTTCTGATAATGGATTCCTCCCGGATTACCGACCGTATTGTTTGTCATCCTAATCGTGGCCGTCCGGGGGATCAGAGCAGGAAGAACTGGAACAATGGGCTCAAGCTGCAAAGCAGAAGGATGAAGACAATATTGCCATGGAGAAGTATACTAAGAGTGATGATGTTCGTATTTATGAGCTTCAACAAGAAGAGGTGAAGGCAGCCACAGAATTGAGTAACTTGCAACAGGCACTTGATGCAGAAGTGACCGAAACTCAGTCGTACCAAATTCAACTTGACAAAACTGCAATTCTCTTCAGGTCAGTTTACTTTACGACTTCTTTAGAAATGTAACTTTTCACCTCTGCCACGAGTTTTTAATGGTTGAATTTCTATATGACGTGCGTAAATCCCGAGGGCTGTTGCCACCTTGACGATAAGTGAACTTCCTTTTGAACATGAAGGTCCATTTCATTGTGGTGTTGGTGATATAGGGAGCTACATTTGCAAAGACAGAAAGTAATAAGGATGTGGGAAACTACGGTTGAGGCTATTCATGCACGAGATGAATCGATTCATCAGGTTGCTGAAGAGTTTGCAGAAAACAAGCTTCGAGTTCAAAGGAAGAAGCATCAGCTCGATGCTTTACAAAAGGCGCTTTTCAAAGAAATGGACACAAATGTAAGAGTCCAAATCGTTCATGAGTACTGTGTTTGCATAGAATTCTCATCATGCAAATAATAATCAATTGTGCATGTATTCAATTTCCTTCAATATATTCAATTGTTCGGTGCAAGTGCTCCTCAAATATGGCAAATATATCTGAATTTATTTGTATGCATAGTTGCGTAGTTTTTTTTTGTGATATTGTAGGTTATCGTGGAGGTGGTTCTTGTGAGGCTGAATTCATCTGGGTCAATCGGGTTCAAGCTTTCGTACCATTTCACATATAAACCATTCTGATTAAAACTTGTCGAAATTGCAAAAGGATGCTGAACCTCAGCTAATTCGGTTGTTGATTCACTATGCAGAAAGATCTAGAACGAATGATCCTCGATGCAGAACACGAGGTTGTGAAAGAAAGGACTCTTTGCTATAAAGAGATCGACAGGTACAGAACTTAAACAAAGAACATGACATTTTCATGGTTCCATGGTCGACTAGACAAGAAGAAGTTGAAGGTGCATCGTAGAATCTGTGCCTTTATCATAATAGATTTGTGGTCTGATCAACTCGAGCGGAACATAGTTGATATACCTGCTGCTTGAAACACTTATATGATTTTTCATGTTGTACTTCCCAGCTCAAAGGGCGCAGAGGAAATGAACGAGTTGATGAAGATGAACCATCTGCGTGCACAGGCAGAGCTAGCGGTGCAAATTGCGATGAAAAAACACGCTGAAGAGGTAAAAACATATTTTAGCCATGATATCTGCCCATATTACCAATTCCACTGTAAAGAACACAATTTGTAGTACACACCATGCAAGTGATCGTTCCCTCCTACACCCATCACACCTTTTTTAGTGTTGGATTGTTGGAAATGAGTAGTTTACAGTCCACCTGAATCTCAAGTTGGTCATAGTTTAAGGGTGATTTATGATATCAAGAGAGTTCTGACTTTAAAGCTACGACTCACAGTCTACCCGAGGTTGAGGGCTGTGGTAACAAGTCAGAATCCATGGGATTCAATATGAGCATCATACATTATTGGTGATACATGTCTAGCATATATACACCATAGCCTAATCAACTCTCGAAATAGGCTAAAACTATCAAAAGGTTACGGGTAGTGAATCGGCTAGTGAACTTCATAGAATATGAAGACTAACATTCTCACATATGCTCAATGGGAACTTGCATGGAATTTTGAGGTTGAAGAGGTTATGAGGTTAAATTGTAATTTTGTTATTGCTTATTTCATCAATGGGATGATGATAGAGGTGAATCATCATCCCACTCATGTGCTAATTTTGGAAAACTCCAGATGGCAGCCAATCATGAATTGAGAAGCAGGTGAATTCTAATGACGTAGACGTATAACATGAGGTATATAGGTTACTTGATGTCAAAAGTTTATACATTTTCACAGTATTTTAGTATGACATTGAAGCCTGTAACACACTCATCATACTTGTTGAGTCATTATTTCATAAACTCATGAATTTGTTCTTAGAAGATTAGTGCATCTTCAAGACTTTGGAAAATATTATAGAGGTTACTTGTGCCAATTGAAATTTTAATACAATGAAAATATTCAATTTTTTATTGAGTATGATGAGCTTCTTTATATGTTGAGCCAGCGAGTAGCCTGAACTAGAAGAAGTGACTCAAAGACATACACGGAGAGTAAGTGAAGAGAGTAGTCACTAGAGATGTTTCGATCTACAAACCTAGGTGGATGGTCAAAGGCCACGGTTAGAGCCATAGTCATTTGCGAATCATATTTTCTTAAAATCTCAGAAATCATATACCGATTAACTAGCTCCTAAGGTCGAGATTGAAACAAATTATTTTCAAAACATTTTTCTTAGACGGAGATCTGGAAGAGTAAATCTATATTGATTTACTTGATGGTTACATAAATTTACGTGGATCGGAATCTCATTGAAAAATGCATTCTAAGGGTTGAAGTAAACGTTTAGAACTTGGTATCAAACTCTTATGTTATGAATTTAGGCTTCAAGAAATCACGATAAATCATACCAAGTACTTTGAGAATGTTCAACATGCGTAGAGGATGAAGTGCGCAAAACTTGTTGCAACATCCTTGGATCTCATGGAAAGTAAAATTAAACTTGGGAGAAACTGATCAAAAGACAATTGAGAATCTGCAATCCCTATACTATAGTATCAAGGTCCACCAATGCTTTCTATGGGTTGTACCGATTCAAACAAAGCTCACTATGTGGGAGATTTGGCTGAATAGACTACTTGTCAAACTCTAGTCGAGAATGTGCCATAAGGGTGCTTCAGTATCTTAAAGACAATCATGGTAATTACTTGGATTATAAAAAGTTATGATATGAGAATATATTAAAGTATTCTCAATACTAGTTGGGGAGATGATTTTGAGAACAAATGTTTAACAAATGACTATAGGCTGTAATGGTGGAGCTATTAGTTGGTGGAGCAAACAACAGAAGTCAATGGCTTAATACATAGTAGAAGCTAAGAGCATGGCTTCTTCCTATGCTGGTATCTTCACATGCTGGTACTTAAGGATACTCAATGAGCTTGGATCTAATCAATGAGCTCTAACTATATTGTTGTGTGATAGCACTAGAGCTATTACACGCAATAATTATCATGTTTATCGTCTTAGGATGAAATATATCTCTAATTTTTAGTAAAACTTTAGCATGAGTAGAAAAACGAGGATATATATATATATATATATATATATATCATATAATGTGTGATTGTAGATGTGTTCACAAGAACATTTAACACGAGAGAGAGAGTACTGAACTTGCCCTTTAGTGAACCGGGAATAATGTAAGTTTTATTTTCGTCATCTTTAGCAATCAGATAATGATTTTAAAATTAGAATCAGTTATCAATTTTACCATATGAAATTACTAATTAACTTCAGGGCTTAAGTAGAGTTAAGCATCTTTGAGCCATCCTTATGCTCAAGTTTAAGCCATGAACTCTGTATACAAACCTAGTCTGACTGTTGATACATACCTCAAACTTCACACCTTGCCAACGATGATTTTTTCATATAGTGATATAGATTTTTTCACATTGACTGCTGGTTTGCTGCGATTAAAAGGTAGAGCTAGCGTCTAGCTGAATCCTGAGATAATGTCGATTCAACTGTGGGGACAATTTCCTGAGGCTCATAGCCAACTTCAGGGTGAGGAGGAGTGGAAGTGATAGCAAGCAAATGCTAATCTAGGAGAGTGAATACGAGCATCTAGCCCGATTGGTGATACATGTGGAAGACATCCTAAACTACGATACTGAAATATGACAATTGTGCGATTCATGAGTTTATTGGCCATGCAGGATGTAGAGGTGAAGAAAAAGAAGGTAGTTATTGCAAAAGAGAGACACGAACGTGCTTTAAAGAAGGTGGAAGAAGAGAATGATCACTTGGATACACTTGAGAAGCGATCACAAGAGCTCGGTAAGTTGTTGACAAGGGAAGAAAACAAAGTCAAGGAAGCCAAGAGGGAAGTTGCTGACCTTCAGGACCAGCTTTTCAAATCAACAGAAGAGCTACACGCTCTTAGAGAAGCAGGTGATATTCTGATATCCACCTCACATCTCAGTCTTTTGAAAGTCTTGTCAAGATTAAGCAATTATCAGAAAGCACGGCCAAACTTCACACTGCCAGTCTTGTCTTCCTGCTGAGTTGGACTAGGTAGTTGACGAGTTTATATCTATGTCGCCACAGTCGGCTCTATCAATCATTGACTTTTGTTCAAAAATCAGTGACTAGATATGCGTGTCTAGCAAGTTCTTGTCATGAGGTGTCCTACCTAAAGGAACTTCACTTTGTCCCACCAGCACGAGTTCAAAGACATTGTTCAATCTCTTTCAGGGAGCTAAATAAGCAAAAGTGCTAGCCATCTCAATGATACATTGATGAAACATCTCATATTCACATACTTGTTGACGACAGAGAAGGAAACATTGCACGAAATCACCGGTGGAAAATCGCAGATCAAGCATTTGAGTCACAACATTACGCATCTAGAACTCAACATGACCCGCCAAGAAGAAGTTCTTTACACACTTGAGTTTCAAATACAGTCGCTTGAGAGAAAGGTAGCACGGGCAAGTGGAGAAAGAAGCGATCTAGAGGAGCAAGAAACCACCAAAAAAATTAAAGATCTTGAGAAGGAGCTTGATGACAAGAAACATGAAGAAGCTCTTGTGGACTCTCAGGTGAGTGAGCCTGAGGAAGGGTTACGTCTTCTTGCTGATTTAGCGAAAGATATCGATCACTATATTGAAACTTTACGATTTGAGTACCCTTGGGTAATATAAGAATCCCCTCCACTAAATAACCGACTTTCCTGTCAGTGAAATATCATATTGAATGTGAAATTGCTACAATTGTGTGATCCCGGAGTTTAAGATAATCTGCAGTGACAGCGTTGGCCCGGCGAACTGAATCATCACATCAACTCCAACTGTTAGTTGTCTTTCGTTTGGTGCATTGTCGCCGAGAGATCTTAACTATATTACTGGGCAACTGGATCACGGAATAGAACTTTCTCTGCAGTTGAAGCGGACTAAAGAGGAACTCAGGGCCACAGTGAGGAAAAATGAAGAGGCAAAGAAAAAGCTCGCTGATATCACGCAAAAGAATTCCGAACTGTCACTTGAATGTGATACAGGGCTTATAGAGGTCAAGGTGTGGTGAACTATTCTGCCCCTGCATGATTTATTCGTAGTAGTTTCTCTGCCATGTGCACGTCTTGATCCTTCTTGTGTGACAGTGACGAGTAACCTCGAATCCACTTCCCTGAAGCAAACCATCACTAACTTATTTACTTTATAAAATGCAACGAAGTCCAGACATCCAGCTGGAGACCTTTAAGTTCGGAACATTTTCGGTCAAATGAATATATTTCAAATCCGTCGAAGGTCCCTGATTCTTTCATTGTTTCAACCTCAAAAAACTGAAAACAAAGCGCCAATTCATCGTTCGGAAGTCCAACTCCTCACAAGTTCTACATTCTCCTCTCTCAGCTGTCTATTCCTTCTAAGCTTTAGATCATGAAGATATCATTCTCGAAGTCTTGAAGTCTTATTCTCACTCACTGGTCCTTGTTTCCAAGAAAAGCTACATCATTTTCCTGAAGGGATCTGACCTCGATCTTCAACTGAAGCCTGTGTGCCAGTCAAGTTCCTTGAAATTTCTCGACCCGTGTACAGGACAATTGAACTCCGCAGTAGCAATCGCTACAACTGAAACGCTGTACACAACTTCAGTAGAAACCCTTGAACTGCAAAGGAGAAGTAGTGAGAGATTCCTTCCCAACATGTCTCTGCTGCTACAAGCACCAGTGCGCAGAGCTGCATACCGCTTTCCCTTGGAACCTTTCTTTTGGCTGACGGCTAATCGTGCTTGATGGCAAGGCTTCGCAAAGGGATAAGGAAGAAAAGATGCTCGATCACGACTTGTTACAAATGGAAGTCAACAGGTTATCGGATATTCTCAACATGAAAGCCGGTAAGCTGTTTACTCAGGCCTGAACAGTATATGTTTCAGACGGCGACGTTTATTGCGTAATCCTGAACAGATGGAGGAAGATAGCTATAGGGTTAAGGAATTGCCATGTTATTTGTACTGACCAATCGAATGTCCTAAGTAAGAGTTGTACATGGCACTGTTCTCCAAGAATATTAGACGTATTGATCTTCTCTGTCGGCCTTCGTTCAACCCAAATCAAAGAATTTTATACAGAGGAAAATGCTTGACTTCGTTCTTCTCACTAACTTATCTTCGTGTTTTTCTAGAGGGTGTGCTCACGATGGAGAGCATCAAACAGAAGCTGATATTTTGCATGGAGGATCATAAACGAGAGATCAATGCACGTAGAGAGAAGACTAAAGCTCAGTTGAAGATCATCCATGATGAACTTCACAATCTGATGATGCAGAGGAAAAAACTGATTCTTCAGATAGATAAGGTACTCTTTACTACATATTGTCAGTACAGTCGTTCAAGTCAGCATTGGACTTAGTCAATCTTTCCATGTTCTGATCTGGTTAGACAGGAAGAGGCGGCATAAGCAGTTGAAGAACATTCCTGGCAATTCTCAAGAGTTGAATCATACGAAAAAGCTACCACGTATTCGTCAGGAATGGATATGAAGTACGATATTGAAAATGCGTTGGCTATATAATATAAATCGCAGTATCGTTCGCGACAGTAGTTTCTATTCAGACGGACGAATCGCGTGATCCAAAACCCGGTTTTTGTGATAACTTGCAGCTCCAGAAGAAATATCAGACTCTGATCTCGCGGGTAAAGATGGAAGATGGTACCGTGCGCTCAGCAAATTATTACGTCATTAAAGCTGCGCAAGATCGGCAGATGCTTGAGAATGAGGTTCCAAAGCTGGAGGAAGAAGTCCAAAAGGTTTGTAATCAGTTAAATTCTCTGAAGGGACTTTTCACTTGCAGGAATATTACACTGATTGGTTACTGATCAAAGTGGTCTAATTTTGTTGTCTAAAGTGGACATGCACAGTATCTGGGCACATCTTGAAAAATAGACACTGAAGGTGCCATCAGTATTTGCTCCAGAGATGATTACACACGGATCAAGGAACGACAACCTTTTTGGGTGATGAAAGTGACAATAAGAAGAAGGATATATCACAGGACTCATCTCTTGATCTCTTCGTTCAGGTAGAACAGAATCACCAATGTGCCTGCGATTGGTAACTTGCACAGGTTAAACAGGATGTACGACTACTAGAAAAGGCAACTGATGAGATCAAGGAATCAAACAACGCTCTGCGTTGCAGCCTGAATACTCCTAGAAGCATCGAGTTGGCCTATGAGCAAAAGATCCTGAAGCAAGCATACCAACAGGCTAAAGAACGAACTCGTTTCAAGCAAAGAGAAGAAGCAGCACTGCTCGAAGTAAGATGCCGCGTGTTGACAACCATTGAAATGCACAACGGAGTCTATCTCCAGGAACCACAAAGACAGCAAAGACTGAGAAATTTTTTTTTGTAGTTGTTCATGTGGGCAATAATGTTTTAGCAAACATGTGGGCAATAATGAAAACATGACCGATTGATGTGTTCTCTGTGTAGGAACTTCACGAGGCTGAGCGATCGTTGGAAAACTCCGAGAAAGAACGCATAACAGTGGATGAAACTATACGCGAGCTAGAGAAGAAAGTAGAAACAGCTAGGAAAGAGGCTGCCGACCAGGCTGCGAAGTTTAAGCGGGCAACTACGCAGCTCCAGAAACTTGCTAGAGATGTCAGGGACAGGTTTGAGTAAGGAACTGCTCCTGCAACCCATCATCCCTGTCTTCCTACTTTCACGTCTCGCAGTTAGCAGATGTCAAAGAACTCAGATTCCATATTCCTTGCACCAGTGACTGCCATTTGCACCTCACTTCACTCCAACTACTTAGCACGGCTCAGCCAAAGAGGGGGGATTCATGATCTGCAGGCTATGAGAGGCACATACGAATCAGCCCAGTTCAATCCAAGCACACATGAACTGCAATATAGAGTTCGTTTAAAACCAGATCCTCATAAATCTCTGGAATTTATAGAAAAAACTGCGAGTCAATCACGCGCATTTGAATGTAATATATTTCCCATCCATGCAGCGGTTCTGAGCTCATCAGGATCGAGCAAGAAATGCAGCTCGTGGAGGCGAGAGAGACCGTGAAGGACGTGCTGTACAAACTGAAGGCGATGGCCGTGGAGAACGCGGACGCTGCGGAGGTGATCGAGGCCAAGGTCAGAGACGCAGGTCTGAAGCTGCCGACGGGAGTGTGCAGTGCGAGGTCCAGCAGATCGAGCTCCAGCTCCGGCTCCAGCTCCGCCAGCAGCAGCAGCCGCTCTTCCCAACGAGGACCTCCTTCCGCCAAGAGACCTTTGGCACAAAGCATTCTTACCATGGATCTCGGCTTAGATGATCTATGATACATATTAAATTTAAGTAAATCTCCCAATTGACATCAAGGGGCGGTGGCGCAGTTGGTTAGCGCGTCGGTCTCATAGCTCACCGAGAAATCCGGAGGTCGAGAGTTCGAGCCTCTCTCGCCCCACCTTTTGTTCTCACCGGCAAATTGCCGTCGTTGTCTAGAGTTTCCCCACTGCAAGATCTCTCTGCGAACCTCGATAGAGCCTGCCTGAATGAACGGATTTCAGAAGATTTTAACTTGTGTTTCGTGCTGTCAACTGGAAAATATTCTAGAGGAACTTTTGATGAGTATTTCTTGCAGTATCCTCTTTTGAACCCTGGATGTTTAAAACTATATGCCTGGAAAACGGTGATTTTAGGCATATATATTCCTAAGGGCTCGTAGACTCTGAATACATGACCTGACCACCTTAGAAGACTCACACCCATTGGGATGCACGCTAACTTGCACTCTCGTCACGAAATTCATCTCTTTTCTCTTGTTACGCGGTGACCATTCTAGACGTGGTGGCGAAATTTGATATTGTAGGAGCAAGCAATTCTTACCAAGATAGCATACCAAGATCTATTGTCATTGGGACGCCTGAATTCTGTTGATTTTTTGCTTCCTTCTCATAGCTCACCGAGAAATCCGGAGGCCGAAAGTTCGAACTTCTCTAGCCGCCCTCTGTTTCCACCGGGAAATTGCCATCGTTGCCGAGAATTTCCCCAATGCAAGATCCCTCTGCGAACCTCGAGATAGCCTGCCTTTCTTGCAATGCATGAACGGATTTAACAGGATTAACTTGTGTTTCGTGTTGTCAAGTGGACAATATTGTAGAGGAACTTTTGGTTATTTTTTCTTACATATACGCAGTTGTGTGGTGGATATGGTACCGTGACCAGGTTGTGTTGTCCATAGCATGCATTGGAAACTTGTCAGTGGGTTTTGGACTGTGTCAGATCGTGGATGGGTTTTAGAATAAGTATTACCGATCTGAACAATATTATGTATTTTCGCATCAGCGCTATCGGCGCTAACATTAAATCCAACTCTTACTTAGCTCGGCTATGGTGATGTCCTAAGCAATCGAGTTTAAGTTGAACTCATCGCTAATCTCCTCAGCTGCTCTCTCATGATATATGATGATGTCGAGGGCAGTGCTGTCTCGAGTTGTGGCAATAACCACACCCTTTCAACAGCAATGACCTATCTTATCATGTGCCGTCCAATGACATCTTATGATGTCGGTAGCAAATGATGTCTACTAAAGTAGTACCAGTAACAAACACATTAACATCATGATTACGAACTATATATGCAAACCACTTTTTGACATAGATGACATCACAAATGTGATTTAATACTTTGAGCTCCGATGCCATGCTAGAGGTTTGAGTATATTGTATCTTATTGTAACACATTGTGCTACATGTGTGCACTTTTTCCTATGAATTGAACTTGATCATTTTTTGAAATCTTTGAAAGAATAAAATTCAATGTAATGTATTATTGTAAATTTTTTTTTCTACAAAACCATCTAGTTTTTTGTATTTAATTTATTTTAATCTTTCACTTGATATTTTCATTGAATTTTTCTTGTAAGAAAAAAAGTTCTAATCAGAAAGTTTGTTATAAACATTTTGTTAATCTTTTATTTCTTTGGAAAATCATTTGAATTGTTTTTATCTTCTTCTTCTTTTTTCATTGTAATTCATTTTGACACAAATTTATATATTTAGTAAATAATTTTTATTTAAAAATTAAAAATTAATTAAAAATGTATATTTCATATCAATCTTATTTTGAATCAGAAGAATGATTCAAACTAAAATTTAGTGTGATTAAAACATACAAGTTGCTAAGCCTATCAAGTTGATTTTACCCAACATTAAAAATATGTGATCTTAATATGAGTTAATCATATCATTAATTAAAATAAATTCTATAATATTTATTTAAGAGCAAAAAACTCAAAAATCTCTTATTCATAATTGGACCAACAATATTCAAAATCAAAAGTAGATTGGAGTTTTAACTTCAAAACATAAGACTTTTTATAAAAGGAAATGTTCAATCTAATACTTAATATTATTTTTAATCTATTTTTTTTGTTATGTAATATTTTACATGTTATAATTTATTTTAAACTTATTATATCTTAAATTAAAATTAAAAATTTTAATATACTATCATAAAATAAGTCATCAACTATGTATAATTTTATCATATTGATCTTGTTTATGATCATCATGATAAAATATATCATTTAGTTGTCAGTCTGAATCATGCAGGAAAGTGATAGTCAGATAGATAAACATGAGTACACTCAATCGTAAAATGGTTTACCTTTTAGAGAGCTAAGTACACAAAAAAGCAAGCGAGAGACTACATTACTATAGTGAGAGTAACAGTGATATAGTGCGAAAACCTTAGGTTGCATATACCCAACATCAATGATCAATTTACTTAAAAATAGCCAGAACTTGAGGTTATTCCTAACTAAGATTAAATTTTAATATAATAATAAAAATCATTCTTTTCATATTATATGAAATTGTTTGATACATGTTTCATGTTAGTTTTGGAAAAATACAACATCATTCTGTACTTGGAAGTAAGATAATTATAATTTTGGAAAACTCAACTATGAAAGATTGAAGTTAAAAATTAATCATTATCAAGATATTATGTATCAAATATGAAAAATCTGACATTTATAATTCTTAATATAAGAAGAATTCTTGTTATATAAAAAAATATCCATACATTACTTTAACTAACATTCAAAAGTTTCTCATGAAACCTCTCAATAGTATTGAAATTCCTCAAAGAATTCACTGATTCATGAAGTACATATTTAACAAGTATACATATAAACTTATATATCGTATCGATTTAGTATTTGTTATATTTACATTCAATATGTTATTGATTGATCTCATTGTTTATGTATTCATGACCACTAAATCTCCATGCATAATATCACATAGACAAAAAGTTAGTAATTTGGAACATGCATCTTAATTTATAAAGTAAATGTATGAAAATGATTGCATGGTACATTTGAGTTTCAAAGAGTTGAAATTGAGTGTTGATTGTTCTGCTTTCTTGTCACTCATATTCCATTCTCTTTGTGTTTTTATGATATCGCCATATAAAGGTCTACTTCTTTAAAAGTACTCTACATGATTGTCTGTGTCACAAGTCCTTGTATTTTCAGTACCTCTTATGAGCTTCACTTCCAATCGTGATTTTGGCAGTATGACTCAGATTGCTCTTGGTACATTCTTGCCTCAACTTGACTCCGTCTTAATGATGATATAGTACTAATATAATCACTCAACATTTTACTATGATTTATTGCAAAATATGTGCGAAACTCTCTAAATTCGGCAAATACGAAACTCTAGAGCTAGATTTACGTATTTTGTTTTTAGAAAGTTCCGTATTTCCAATTAAAATATCTTTGTTCATATTGAAGAGAGGTGGTGGTAGAGAAACTAACTGAAGTATTAACTAAAATTGTGCGGTGACCGTTTGTGACATTACGTGATCAACTAACTAAAAGTTGACACTATCCTTCACACAGTGTAGCAGTGTAAAAAAATTCACGACTATTAAAAGTTCTCAAAAATTTATTTTGGTTTAAACGACGCTATCATCGTTACATAACTTCATTACAGTTTTTGACATTTGTTACTTCACTTCACTACAATTTTGGACCTTTATTGCCTAAAGTTTGATGGATTCTATTGAGCCTGCCCTGAAGCGATCTCGCAAAAATCCATTTCAATCAAAACACATGTTACAACATGATCTTTGTATAGCAAGTCGTGATGCTAGATCTTCTGAAGTGGTTGCTCTTAGGTGTAGATCTTGTGATTTTTTATGCGAATAACCTATTAAAAAATCCTCAACATCTTGGACATTCGATGGGATTACTTTCAGATTAGACAATTACATGCAGCATCTTTGCATCAACCATCAAGTGAGATGAGGAGAGTATCAACAGCTTTCAACAGAAGATAAGTCTAATTATTTTGCAGTATCTATCAAACATGCCAAAACTATTTGTCATTTTATGAAATACCAATAAGTTAATAACACCAATATTTTTATTATTAGAGCTTCGATAATTGACATGATTATAGGAGAAATGCTTTAGAGTGAAAACAATTTCTATAATCAATCTTGAGCAAATACAATATCATTCTTTAAACCGACTGAAGATGACAAATATTGCATTCAAATTAGCCACAAGACATAGTTTGAACTAGTGACTCATTTTGTTGCACGAGGAATATCTTTTTCAATGGCTGCTGATGCAGTTCAAGATGCGAGATAGGTATGTGAGATTTTTAAACTTGGATTTTGTAATGAATATATGGTTGCTTCTTATGTTAGAACCGCATGCGCCATAAACATCAAAAATATCGCCCAAATACTCCACCCCGCATGGACCTTTTTGTAGCATTTGATGCATCCAGTGACCTACAAGGAGTTTCTTGGATTGATGTTCGAATTTGATTTTATCAAAAATCTTTTCTTGAGATTCTTCACCTTATTACACTTCTTTTGTTTTTGTAGACATAAAGAATAGGCAATGTTTGAAATGTTTTCAAAGTTGTTTGATGCAGTTTGTCTCTTATGGAAGTACAAGGTAATTGAATGTTCAGTTGATGGTGCTACAAATATAACGTCACATTTATGTTTAGTTGTGACGGGTTTTCAAGATGTGATAGACCATATTTCATTCGTGTCTGGTGTTTGTTCGATCATATAAATATTGTGATGTAGAAGATTTATAAAAACACTAGTTGTGAATTTTATAGTACTCTAATCTCACTGATTTTTGTTTACAACGTTATAAGATTTTGATAGATGAAATGCAAGCCATTTGTCAAATTTTATATGCTATTTATTGAGCCTCGATGTCAAGTGTATCTCATTTTTTGATTAAAAAAAGATCTAAAATCATGGCTTATTTTGACAAAGGAAATGCTTCTTAACAGGTTCTTGACATGACCTCATTTACTTGATGGATTTTGGTTGAAGTTGTAAGCAAACTTTCAGACACGTGAGTGAATGTGTGGAGAGTTTATAAGGAAGAAGAACCACTTTGCAATAACAGAAGTCAATTTTTGAAGATTTGCTATCTAACTTACAATGTTTTGCATGTGTAGAGCGACTTGAAATTGAGTTAAACTCGTCTCTTGCGTATGACATCATAACCTTGGACAGATGGCAAGTTAGTCATGCCAATTTGATTGAATTAATCGAATATCAAGATTTGTTTGCTACCCAACCATTGACAGAGTTTGGCATAGAGTCAAAAATTAAACTATTGCATGCAGTTGGCAACCTATTTTTGGAAGTAGTTTGTAATCTCAGCAAGGTAGAAGCGACACATGATGAGTTGAACCAGGCGAATTCTA